TTGAGGAAAGAGGAGTAAGTATGAAACTGCCCTTTTGGAAATTGGGAAAACTAATAAGCCAGGGTGAGAAGCATTGCTGGGCTGCATCAAAAGCATATTTGACCTTTGTGTTCTTGACCTTCTAGTGAAGCCACTTTTATTTTCTGTGTTTTCCCCAGCAAGGTTTTGCTGTTTTAAGTGGGATGTGGAATGTATGGACAGTGAGGTTTTATAAGGGTGGGCCTTGCCGTGTTGCTACAATTGATAAGTCTGTACCTAGAGAGCTACTGAAGGTGTGAGCAGAGAAGGCTTGGGTGTCAGAAAGATTCTTCTAGCTCAGTATGGTGTAGATGTATGTGAAAGAGGTGCAACAATCTAATCCAATAGGAATTAGTCTGTTTTGTGTTGCTGTAACAAAATGCCTGAGGCTGGGTGAGAAAAGACAAGAGGTTTGTTTGGCTCATGATGTTGGCACTGGAGGATCCAAACTGCATGGCCCCAGCGTCCTGTTGAGAAGCCCTGACACTGAGAAGCAGAAAGGGGACTGACTGCCTATGAAGGGACCAAGTCACTTTGTAACAACCTGCTCACCTGAGAACTTCCTCCATCCTCCATCCCAGCCTACACTGAGAGAACAGCATTAATCTATACCCCAGGTCAGATTGCCTTCCACTAGGCCCCACCTCTTAAAGGGTCCACCACCCCAACATTGTACACAGGACACCAGGCTTCCATCACATTAATGGTTGTGAGATTAGCCACATCCAAACTGTGGCAGGGACCCTTGATCAATCCTTCACGGATCTGCTCCGGAACCTGGAGGGTCTTTCCCCAGCATTTTCTGAGAGCCTACTGTATACCAGGTTCTGGGGAACAAGACAGATCAAACAAGGTTTGCCTTTAGAAGGTGCTCATGGATTTAGAAGGTTTGTAATTATGGTATTTGAGAAGAGGGAAGGAGCAATTAACACTAGGTAGGAATGGAGGAAGGCCTCCCTAAAGAGGTGACATTTCAAATGAGCTTTAGAGAATTAGGCCCTCAGGAGGGAAGATAGTTTTAGACAGGGAGAATAACATGGACCCAGTCTAGAGATTTAAGATGCAGGCTTAGAACAAATGCTTCATGGCGAAAGATAGTGGAAGACGAGGTCCTTCCTCCATTTACTAGCAACGAAGTAGAACTGAGGAGGCCTCTCTGCTTGAGAATACAAGGGTGAGACACCGGGGCCCAGAGCAGCAAGAAGGGTGGCGGAGAAGGGTGAAACACGTGTTTTTAAAATGGAAATTTCTTTTTTAACTTAAAAAAATGTGGAACTACTCTGGGGAATTTGTGCTGTAATTTGCTCAGCTAAGAACGACGTGCAGTTGAAATGTCTGTGTGCTGTCTGAAAATATTAACTACGATCTCTGCCACCTGTCTGACCATGCAAGATGCTTTCAATGGCAAAGCTCTTGCAATCAATCCGTTAAATGACTTAAAACTTCGTCTCTATCCTAGGCTATGCTTTTGAAACAAGTAGTTTCTGCACATTTTGAAGAATGAGAAGTTCGTGACCAAGCCTATGGGTTGATTTTATCTAGATTAAATGAAGTAAGGCTCGGAGGGCTCGGCTTGGAGTCAGGGGTCGATGTTACATGTTCTCCTTTAGTCCCCGTTTTCTCTTCCTCACATGTTCTGTTCTTCGCTCCTGAAATCACGTTGTTTCCTGAATACCCTGTGCTAGACCCAGTCTGTTCTAGGGACCCCAGAATCAGGTGAGGCACTCCACACCTGATCACCATCCCTGGGAAGTGTGGTTTGCTGTCTGCAGCGTGTGTGCATTTACAAGACCAGAGGCTAAACTAGGCCTCTTTCATCTGGTAGTGCCTGCCAGTTCAGAGGGGTGGCTTCTCCCAGCTGTTAGCAGCCAGCAACCCTTCTGGAGTGTGCCTAAGTTGGCATTAACCAGACAAAGAAGTGGGAAAGACCTTGCTTTCTTTATTTATCAGCAGTGTTCATAGCTGAGTAACCGCATGAGTAAGAGCAGTGAGTATGTGAGAGCATGGCAGCGGCAGGTGGCTTGGCACGACTGGAGTTAAACATGCTTTTGGCTTCCCTTAAGACAACACAAACCTAAGCCGAGTGTGCTAAGGAGGGAGTCCTCGGAAGCGGAGGTTAGGCGTTGGTGAGAATTTGTCATTTCTTTTCAGGATTAGTCAGGATGAACCTGATGTTTCTTTAACAAAGCCTGGTAACTTCACTTAGGGAATTACCCATCTGACTAACCCATTCCCTGAGGGCAGTGGGTCCCGAACTTTGCTGTCACCTTCGGAGTTTTTGGAGATCCAGATGCCCAGGTCACACCCCGTGCCAGTGACATCACAGTGTCTGGGGCAGGGACCAGACACCCCAGTTCCCAAGCGCCTCACGTGATGACCGTGGAGAGCCGCCACTGCCCTGGGGCATGGGCTGGCCTCTTCAGTTAAAACACAAAAATTCTTACTTTCTTCCTACTTGCAAGCAGTCCCTGCATCGTTTTTTGCGCGTTTCTCGGTCTGGGGGCGGCCGAAAGCTGGCAGGGGATGTGGTCTCACCCAATTAGCAGGTTGCACTTTGCTAAGCTGCTCAGCATAGGCTGCCAGGGCTGCACGAGGGCTGGATTTTTGCTTTGTCATCCTGACTCTGGCTGTTTGCCCGCCCGCTCCGAGCAGGGCGTGGCTTCGCGTCGCTCCTGGGAACCTGCAACCCTTTCACCCCAGTTTGCCTCAGTGCCGCGCTTGCATCGCCACCGCAGGAGGTGGACGGAGCCCTCCGGAACAGCCAGCATCTTCATCACCGTCGCGTTCATGTAAGCTCTGCGGCAGACTGGGAACAAAGCCCCTAGCCCGAGGGCGCGAGCACGCCGGGACGGTTTGCTGGCGGGGGCCCGGAGCCCCGCGCCCGACCGAGGGGTGCTTTGGGAAGGCAGGGGCAAAAGGGGATGTGCTAGGACCGGGCCGAGTGGTGGAGAGGCGCGGGGCGGCGTGCGAAGCCTCCCCCGGCCGCGGAGAGCGTCCGCATTCGGGCGGGCGGCCCGGCCCCCTGGCGGCGGCTGCTTTCCTTCCTCTTGCCCTTGGTGGGGACGCCTGCGGGATGTCTGGGCTTTTACAGTGGGGGTTTTGTATGATTTCCCAGAGCCGCAGTCTGGACGTATGGATGACAATGCGATGAATAGACTGGCAGATTGACAGCACGGAGAGTCTATAAGACTCCTTTCCAGGAACATTCACACCGCCTAATCCCTAGAAATCCCGAGAGATTGGCAAAACCCGTGTGATCTCACGTTTTACAAGTGTCACGCGCAGCCCGACACGGGCTACTGACCGGGGCAGCAGCGAGACCGGGAGCCAGCGCTTGCCTCGGCGGGGCCGGGCCGGGCAGGGCAGCGGTCGGCGCGCTGGCTCTGCGGCTGCGTCGCGGCGTGGGCCCGGGCGAGCCGCTTGGCCCCTCTGAGTGAAAAGGACTTGACAGCAGCCGCTTCCGGAGGGTGGCAGTGGAGCTGGGCCGCGAAGCTCTGTGGAAGCGGCACCTGTGTTCCTTTGGGCAGGTGCGCATCCGAGCACTGCTGGGCCTCTTGTTTCGTGGACGGGCCTGACGTCAGGGCCTCGAGGAGTCGACTGTATAAGGCCCTGCCTCCTCCTCTGAGTTCACCCTTTCGTGAAGGTGGGCCCTTAGTCCCGGGTCTCGTGCTGCACTGCTTTAAGATGGGGGGCGGAGGGGCACGCTAAGTCGGCAGGGGGTTTTTCATGATGTCCCGCCGCGGCTTCCCACTTGAAGGAACTGTTGGAAGTTGAACTTTGAACCTCTCAATAGGTGCAGAGTTAAAAGCAAAATCAAACTGGGCGGTGTTTTTTGTGAGAGCTGAGGGAACCGCGGCGTAAGCCGCTTACTGGACACTGAACTGTGCGTTTCCTCTCAGCCGAGCCCGGCCACGAGGTGGCCCCGGCCGGAACTCCGACGCCGATCGCTGGCCTTGAGGCCATGTGTTCAGCCAGGGTGCAGGTTGGCGGGGGCCGGAGTCCGTGCCAGATTGTGGGTTTTAGTCACGCTGCGAAAATGAGCAAGTCACGGTGAGTGGCTCAGGAGCGGCCCGCGGGCACGTCCGGCCGGGCTGGTCGGGGTCCGGCCCCGCGGGCGCCCGCCGGAAGCCCCGCCCCGCTCCTCCCGCCGCCCCGCGCGCGCGCCGAACGCGCCGCCGCGGCCCTCACACGCTCTGCTTTTGTGCACAGAGGACGGCCCGGGCCTGCACGCCGCGCTCGCCGAGCTGACCGCCGACCCCGACGTGCCCGTGGTGTTTGTGAGGCAGACCAAGATAGGCGGCCATGGTCCAACCCTGAAGGTAGGAGACGGCGGCGCGCCTCTGTGCCGGCCCGAGCTCGGCGGTCGCGCCCGCGCGGCCGCGGAGGGGGCGCCGGGGAGGGGGCGTGACGGGAAACGGGGTACCTGTGGGCGTCTGTTGCAGTAACGTCTTCAGGGGTCCTTCGTCTCCTCTTTTCCTTTCTTCCCCGGTGACTCACCATTTTTAGTGTTAGCTGCTAAACGTGGGTTGTTTGGGGAAGTGCTCGTCTGCGTCATACTAGTCGGCCCTACCGTCTTCCTCCGGACTTCTCGGAGGGGTGGGCGGCCCAGGGCGCCTTGGCTCCGAAGGGACCTCCCAGCAGTTCGTTGTCCGTCAGGTCCTACCGGCTGCCGCTTAACCAGGTGGGGCGGCCTGGTGCGCATCCGTTACCGCAGCGCCTGGCTTCGATGTTTGCACATTCTTTCTCTCCTTATGCATTTGTGTCTGTAGCGGTTAAGAAACTGCCTATTTGCATACTTTCACTTTGCCCACGGTAAATGTAAAACTACATTTAGATGTATGCACCTTGAGGAAAGGAGAGTGACAGTTATTTGCAATTTGATTTACTGCCTTTTCTTCTGAAGGACTTTAACTTTTTTTAAAAGGCTTATTTATTTATTTGAAAGGCAGAGTTACAGAGAGAGAGAGAGAGGACTTCCATCCACTGGTTCACTCCCCAGATGACCGCAACTGCCAGAGCTGTGCCCATCTGAAGCTGGGTGCCATGAGTCTCCTCCGGGTCTCCCACGTGGGTGCAGGAGCCCAAGGGCTTGGGCCATCTTCAACTGCTTTCCCAGGCCATAGCAGAGAGCTGGATCAGAAGTGGAGCAGTCGGGTCTCAAACCGGCTCCCAGGTGGGGTGCTGGCACTGCAGGCAGCGGCTTTACCCGCTACCCCACAGCTCTGGCCTTGAATCTTACCTTTTTAAGACTGAATATACAGGAAGTGGAGCTAGACTAATGAAGTGGAGCGGATTAATGAAAAGTAGTTAAAGGAGATAAAAGGTTTTCAGCTGTATGTAAAACTTACAGAATTACTCATAGTTTTAGTTTACAGGTAAAATGAGGTAGAGGTCTATTAATATTTCTGCTGATTATTTTCTTCACCTCGTCATGAGTTTACATTTACAAAGTCATCTAGGCATTTGGGAATACAAAAAAAAAATCACTGTTTTTTATAAGCGTTGGAGCTCACTTTGATATGACAATATATAGCAGTATATAACAGTACAACAGTGCCCTGAATGGAAAAGCATTCCAGTAAGAATTCCTCACTTAGCACATTTCTCAAGGGAGCTCACCATTCTGCTTTGAGCATTTGATTTAGTTTTTTTCTTTTTTTAAGATTGATTTATTTATTTGAGAAGCAGAGTTCCAGACAGAGGGAGAGAAAGAGATCTTCCATCCACTGGTTCACTCCCCAAATGGCCGCAACAGCCAGAGCTGGGCAGATCTGAAGCCAAGAGCCAGGAGCTTCTTTCTGGTCTCATGTGAGTGCAGGGGCCCAAGCACTTGGGCCATTCTCCACTGCTTTCCCAGGCCATTAGCAGGGAGCTGGATCAGAAGTGGAGACTTGGTGTCCACATGGGATGCTGGCACCACAGGCGGTGGCTTAACGTACTAGGCCATAGTGCTGGGCCCTGATTTGGGTTTTAGTGAGCATTAAGAAATGGAAAAGAGAGAGAGCTGAGGCAGATTGGTTGGAATGGTGTGTGAATTTCCAACCAGTTGTCCGCATGTGGGGGCCAAGTGGTGGGTCTTGAAAATTTTTAGGGTATATTGGGTTTGAGTGGAGAAAGGCATTTACTAAGTGTGGACTTGACTGATTATGGAATTAGGGCTGTAAATTTAAAGTTCACCCCTTCAAAAAAGAAAAGATGGAGAGTTCATATTTAACCTAAAGCTTGAATAATGGAGAGGGAGCTTTCCAAATTGTTAGCTTTTCCTTTCTCCTGTTGATGTCAGCTCTGCCTTTGTCCCCCTCCCGCCCCTCAAGACCACCAACGGCAAAACCTGCCTTGCTTCTGCAGTGAGTGTGCTACAGAAGATAGGAGAGTCCTGCTGCGGGGAACCGGCGTATGCAGGTGCCTGCCTAGAGGAAGGTTTCCAGAGATGTGGTTCTCTGAAGCAATGCACATGCACCTGCAGACTTCCTGGAGTGTTTGTGAAACATGTCTGCTGGGTAGGAGTTGTGCAGCAGGTTAAGCCTCAGCTTGGGACACCCTCATCCTGTCTGGAGATTGGCTCTTCCACTTCTGATCCAGCTTCTTGCTAACATGCACCATGGGAGTGGTGGAGGATGGCCCAAGTACTTGGTTTTTTCTGCCACCAACGTGATAAACCTGGATGAAGTTCCTGCCTCCTGGCTTCCACCTGGCCCAACCCTGGCTGAGGTGGGCATTTGGGAAGTGAACCAATGGATGGAAAAATCGGTCTCTGTCTCACCCTGCCTTTCAGATACATAAATAAATTTTCAAAAACAGTGGAGAGGCTATATGAAGTGTTACTTCCCTAAGGAGTTACCATTTGCTGTTTTCTAACTAATAATTTTTGGGTATTATGCAATAACAGTCCTCTGTTTACCCCAATTCTGATTATTTTATCAACTGATCTTTAGCAAATTACCTTATACATTAGTCTCAAACTTAATGTTTCTTGTAAGAATTACCAGGGGGTTCATCTCAAGAAGATTAATAATAATAAAAAAGACACTTTAACACAGAATAGAAAAAGGGACATGTGCTGTCTGTGGCCAGGGCTTGTGTATCCATGTGAAAAGTTGCAACTAAAGCACTTCTAAGTTAATGCTGGAAGACATGTGGCTTTCATGAAGTCTTTGTTTGTAAGGCAAGAATCTGAGTTTTCCTATAGGGAACCTGTCTTGTCTGTAAATCAGCTTCTCTACATTGAAAGCATTTGCAGAAATGCCTATTGGTAGTACTGAGAGGAAAAGCAAATTAAATGAGAAAACTGGAATCCTGACAGGCAAGTCTTTAGTAGTTTGAGCTAATCTTGAGAGATAAGAGTAACACTGACGACATAGGATTGAAATACAGTAATGTCTTCAAGGCTGTAGCAGGAAGGATGACCAACACAAAACAAGGTACAGTTAACACCCAGGAAGTTATGCAGAAACTTGGGGTTGTGGTAGGACCTCAGTGACCCCATGTTTCAGCCTCGGTGCATAGACACTAAAAGGGAGGTCTCCTTTTTTGTTTGTTTTTATTTATTTATTTGACAGGTAGAGTTATACACAGAGAGAGAGAGAAAGGTCTTCCTTCCATTGGTTCATTCCCCAAATAGCTGCTACGGCTGGCACTGCACCAGTCCGAAGCCAGGAGCCAGGTGCTTTCTCCTGGTCTCCCATGCGGGTGCAGGGGCCCAAGCACTCGGGCCATCCTCCACTGCCTTCCCGGGCCACAGCAGAGAGCTGGACTGGAAGAGGAGCAACCGGGACTAGAACCTGGTGCCCATATGGGATGCCGGCGCCACAGGCAGAGGATTAACCAAGTGAGCCACAGTGCCAGCCCCTCAAGGAGGTCTCCTTTCTAAGCTAACTTCTGAGTTACCAGAAACCAGGCTCTTAACTGATTAGACATCAGGAAGTCAGTGGTAATTGAGTAGCTCTCTGAACATTTTTTCTTACTACTTTATGGAAGCTTTTGATTCCTTCCTTTGAGATAATCTCTGAGGCCTGAGGAGCACTGGAGGATGAATTTGAAGATGAGGGACTTGAACAGGTGTCCTGGCTTACATTAGAAGAAAATAAGGGGTCAAGACTGCTGAGATACAAATGAGGCATAGATTATTTTGGCTAAGTACGTTAATCTGGTGCTGATAATAGTGAATTTTTTTTGAAGGTTTGTGTATGTATGTGAAAGAGTTACATAGAGGAGCCAGGAGAGTCTTCTGAGTCTCCCATGTGAGTGCAGGGGCCCAAGGACACGGGCCATCTGCTGCTGCTTTCTCAGAAGCATTAGCGGGGAGCTTGATTCGAAGTAGGGCAATGGGGACTCTAACCAGTGCCCATATGGGATGCTGGCACTGAAGGCAGTGGCTTAACATGCTATGCCACAAGCCCCAGTAGTAAAGTTTTACCAGTTGTCAATCCATGTTGAGACCCAGTGCCTCCCAACCCCCCAAAGTACCACTTTTACCAGGTGACAGCACAAACCTCTCTTTGTGCCTGTTTTTTTACAGTAGTGTCACTACTCCAGTGGTGCAGGCTTCACACTTCCTCCTGAACCTTTCCTGCTGTTCACCCACAGAGGCTGACTGTTGCCACGCATCTGCCTACTGCCCCCCTTTACTTAGGCTGGGACTGGGGTACTCATGTCCCCTGCCCGAACCACTTCCACAGCCTCTAGCTGGCTTCGGAACCCCTTCCTCTGCCAGCCCATCTGCTGACAGTCATCTTCCTGATAGCTCCCTCCCTGCCCCCAGATCAGCATCCAGAATCAAGAGTAGGTGCCCCTTTACTTGGTATTCTTGCCCTTGGGGATCTTGCCCCAGCCCGCTTTTCTGGTTGTCTGTTGCTCTGCTTCCTCACTTACTGGAGGCTCCTGGGAATAATGTCGCCACTGCGGTTAGGAAACTTCTCCTTTGTTCTGTTCTTTGTTCAATTCCTGACATCTCTTCCAGTCCAAGCTTATTTTTGCAACTGCCTTACCTGTTCAGAGAACAGTGTCCTTGCCTTCTCTTTGTTCCCACAGTATCTCCATAAATCTTTGTGGACAAGGAGGAATCCTGCCAGTGGTAATTTTTGGCTAGTGTATCAAAGGTGGAGAGCAAGGCTTATTCTTTGTGTCAGTGGTCCAACAGGTAGGCAAGTGAACGTGCTTTCTAACAATGGTAAAAGCCGTTCATCCAGTGCCTGTTATGTGCTAGACTTCAAGTGCTGTGCTGCTTAGTTGATGAAACCCTCACGACAGTCTCAGGAAGGGCAGGTGGTGTCCAGGTGCGAGAACGAAGGCCTGGAGGATGTCAGGAGGATGCTCAGCTAGGTGACAGCAGCAGTGTCAGGAATGGAACCCAGGCCTGCCTGTTGGCACAGCTCACTCTGGTGAACTCACATTCCTGGCACTTGGCTCTGGGTTACTGCTGTTGAGATACCTGTCTTGTGTGCTCATGCTTCACCGTTGAGCCAATGCAGATCCTGGTATTGCTAGCATAGTTTGGGCACACAGACATTCATTAGATGCTTGCTGAGTGGGACTTCATTCCTCTGTGCCTACTAAATTAAATTGTGTGTTCCTTTAGGAGATCAGTGATAACATTTTTTGTATCTTTTTTTTTTTTTTTTTGACAGGCAGAGTGGATAGTGAGAGAGAGACAGAGAAAGGTCTTCCTTTTTGCTGTTGGTTCACCCTCCAATGGCCGCCACGGCTGGCGCGCTGCAGCCGGCGCCCCGCAGCCGGCGCCCCATGCTGATCTGAAGGCAGGAGCCAGGTGCTTTTCCTGGTCTCCCATGGGGTGCAGGGCCAAGCACTTGGGCCATCCTCCACTGCACTTCCTGGCCACAGCAGAGAGCTGGCCTGGAAGAGGGGCAACCGGGACAGAATCCGGCGCCCTGACCGGGACTAGAACCTGGTGTGCCGGCGCCGCTAGCTGGAGGATTAGCCTATTGAGGCGCGGCGCCGGCCTTCTTCATGTATTTTTTAAATGTTTTTTTATTTTCATTTACTTCAAAGGCAGAGGGAGTCCTATCAATTGATCTTCTATCCACTGGTTCACTTCCCAAATTCTTGGAATATTTGGGGATGGGCCAGGTTGAAGCCAGGAGCCCCAAACTCCATCTGGGCCTCCCATGTGGTTGGCAGGAGCCCAAACACTTGAGCTGTCAAGTGCTGTCTAACAGGAGGTACATTAGCAGGAAACTGGATCAGAAACGGTAGCAAGGACTTGAACTAGCACTTGCTGATATCCCAAGCAGTGGCTTAACCAATGTGCTACAATGCCCACCCTTCCATCTGATTCTTAACACCTAGCATATGCAAGTAAATGTTTGTTGAGTAAATGGATAGTGGTGGTAAGGCCAGAAGAATCTGACGTGACAGATTCAGCTATAAGGTGTCAGATTTTATTGAAGATGGGTTGACTGTCAGGGACCAAGCTCCAAGTTGTTCACAAAGAGATTCTAGGTAGCATATTGAAAGCAGTTCAGAGTTTTAAAAACCTGTCATCTTGAACATGTGTCTTAGGTTCATTGGGAAGAAAGTCACGTCAAGTCTAGTATGAACACCTATGGCTCATACTAGGCACTGTTTTATTTATGTCTAACAAATCTATAAGGTGATCACTTATTTAACAAGACATTTGTTAACATGTTTGCATATGACTTTTTTTTTTTTTTGATATTTATTTGTTTGAAAGGCAGAGTTACAGAGAGGCAGAGAGAGAAAGAGAGAGGTCTTCCATCCATTGGTTCATTCCCCAGATGGCCACAATGGCTGGAGCTGTGCCGATCTGAAGCCAGGAGCAAGGAGTATCTTCCAGGTCTCCCATGCAGGTGTAGGGGCCCAAGGACTTGGGCCATCTTCTACTGTTTTCCTAGGCCATAGCAGAGAACTGGATTGGAAGAGGAGCTGCTGGGACATAAACCTGACCCATATGGGATGCCAGCACTGCAGGCAGCGGCTTTACCCACTATGCCACAGTGCTGGTCCCTGCATTTGACTCTTAAAAAGATGGTCACAACTGTTCTATATGGCTAAGTGAGACATCTGATAGTCTCATTTTACAAAGGAAGAGATTCAAACATTGAATAAAATCAGTGGAAACTAAGCACCAGGTTTTTTTTTTATTTGAACCCAGTGTCCAGAGCACAGCCACTTCCCCATCAAAACAATGCCCCTGTTATTGGGGACTTCTGAGAGATTCTGTTCCCTTCGTCTTCCACCCTTGTTTCTTGTTTTTGAGGCTGGGCAAGTGAGCCAGCGTTGGTTTTCTAAGTGTCATTAAGTATGTAAATTCACAGTTGAGGGTAGAGCTTTTATATACCCCAACTTGTGGGTCCAGATTACTTAGTGGGACTTGTATCTTTTACCTCACTAGTAATAATACCATCTTATTTGAATAGAGCAGTTATTCAAAGCTTCTTTGAGATACTGAACTTTTTTCTTTGTAAAATCTTTTTTAAAATTTATTTTGAAAGGCAAAGTTATAGAGAGAGAGAAAATGACAAGTCTTCCATCTGCTGGTTCACTCCCAAAGTGGCCATGATGGCCTCCTGGCTTCCAGTTGCCGCAGCTCAGGCCATTGCAGCTATTTAGGGAATGAACCAGTGGTTGCTCTCTCTCCTTCTCTTTCTGTGTAACTCTTTCAAATAAATAATAAATCTTAGAACTGTTCAATGATTTTTTAAAAAGATTTTATTTATTTGAGAGGTAGAGTTACAGACAGTGAGAGGGAGAGACAGAAAGGTCTTCCTTCCGTTGGTTCATTCCCCAAATGGCCCCAACAGCGGGAGCTGTGCTGATCTGAAGCCAGGAGCCAGGTGCTTCTTCCTGGTCTCCTATGCGGGTGCAGGGGCCCAAGGACTTGGGCCATCTTCCACTGCTTTCCCAGGCCATAGCAGAGAGCTGGATTGAAAGTGGAGCAGCTAGGACTTGAACCAGCACCCATATGGGATGCCGGCACTGCAGGTGGAGAACCTACTGTGCCACGGCACTGGCCCCAGATTTAAGAATTCACAAGTGTTAGAAATCCTGTTGAGCCGGCGCCGTGGCTCAATAGGCTAATCCTCCACCTTGCGGCGCCGGCACACCGGGTTCTAGTCCCGGTCGGGGCGCCGGATTCTGTCCCGGTTGCCCCTCTTCCAGGCCAGCTCTCTGCTATGGCCAGGGAGTGCAGTGGAGGATGGCCCAGGTGCTTGGGCCCTGCACCCCATGGGAGACCAGGAGAAGTACCTGGATCCTGGCTCCTGCCATCGGATCAGCGCGGTGCGCCGGCTGCAGCGGCGGCCATTGGAGGGTGAACCAACGGCAAAAAGGAAGACCTTTCTCTCTCTGTCTCTCTCTCTCACTGTCCACTCTGCCTGTCAAAAAAAAAAAAAAAAGAAAAAAAAAAAGAAATCCTGTTGAAATGGTGAGGGGAAAACCATTAGACATGATTGTTTTCCTTGGTAGCAATGTCTAAAGGCAGATTTTAAATCTTTTGGAGGATGATCTAAGCTGCTTTAAGGTTCTTGGGAACTGCGATCATGCAAAGGAGGAATTCAACATTAGAAATCACAACTTAGGTCGCTTGCCTTGTGCTCTGTTATTCTCAGCAAGTTGTGTGGGCTGTGTGTTATCACCTGAGAAATCCCTATAAATGGTGTTAGTAATACTTGATGAGTGGGTTGGGAGGATTAATATATTTTTCCAAAGCATTTTGAAATTCTTAGATGAAAGGCTCTGTATGGAGCAAACTGGTGTCAGCCTGTTTTCCTTCCTCTGAGCCAGGAGAAAATATGCACCCTAGGGTGGGAAGGTTGGCTTTTGGAGTTCTTTTTATAAATTGCTTTCATTGAATTTAAAATGGATACCAGAAGCTCCCAAGAATACAGTTCACTGTAAAATCAGGTTTTTTTCAATTTGGGTCTTGGGTTTTTGTATTATCTTTTTGATTAATTAATTAATTAATTTGAAAGGCAGGAGTTAGAGGTCTCTCATCCTCTGGTTCTTTCCACAAATGGGCTCAATGGCTAGGGCTGGGTCAGACCAGAGCCAGGAGCCAGGAACTCCATCCTGGTCTCCCATGTTGGTGGCAGGGTCCCAAGCATTTGGGCCGCCTTCTGCTTTGCCTTTTCAGACACATTAACAGGGAGCTGCATTGGAAGTGGAACAGCTGGGACTTGAACTGGCACTCTATGGGATGCTAGTGTCACAGGCAGTGGCTTAACCCACACTGTAACACAACACTGGCCCTGCCTGAGCTGTGTTTTTTTCATACAAGATTTAAGATAGATTTAAATATTGGCTGAATGTGGGAAAAAATGACCTTTTAGTGATCCAGCATCTCAACTTTATTTTTCTCTTGTTTATTCTTTATTCCACAGGTGTGATAAAATGGTTAAGCAGTAACATTTACTTTCAGAAACTGTAGGACTTACTACTTTCCTTAATCTTTGATTTTTTTTAAAAGATTTATTTATTTGAAAGGCAAAGTGATAGAGCGCGAGAAAGAAAGATTATCTTTTGTTGATTCACTCACCAAATGGCTGTGACAATGACTGGGGCTGGTTTAGGTCAAAGCTAGGAACCGGCAACTTCATCTTGGTCTCTCCCAGATCAGTGGCAGTGACTCCACGTACTTGGGCCATCTTCTGCTGCTTTCCCAGGTGCATTAGTAGGGAGCTGGATTGGAAGTGGAGTAGCTGGGATCAAATATGGGAAGCCGCCAATTTAACCTGCTGTGGCACAATGCTAGTCCCTGTGGGTGCTAGATCAAATAACTTGTGGGTATTAGATCAGATTTTTAATCACAATAACTTATTGAGTGCATATCCAAGTGCATTCATTTTGAAAATAATTATGTTTGAAAAATAAAACCTGGGGCCAGTGCTGTGGCGCAGCAGGTTAAAGCCCTGACCTGAATCGCTGGTATCCCATATGGGTGCTGGTTCTAGTCCTGGCTGCTCCTCTTCTGGTCCAGCTCTCTACTATAGCCTGGGAGGGCAGTGGAGGATGTCCCAAGTGCTTGGGCCCCTGCAGCGGCATAGGAGACTTGGAGGAAGCTCCTGGCTCCTGGCCTCAGATTGGCGCAGCTCAGGCTGTTTGGGGAGTGAGCCAGCAGAAGGAAGACCTCTCTCTTTCTGTCTCTCCCTCTCACTGTCTGTGGCTCTACCTCTCAAATAAATAAGTAAGATCTTTAAAAAAAAAAAAAAGAGAGAGAAAGAAAGATAAAACCAAGTTCTTGTTTTTGAGAAGCAAATAGTGTAACAGGGCAGGATTTTTTATAAATATATGCACAAATAACCATAATGTATGGGATTCTTCCAAACTGCATGCTTTTCCTTGAATCCTCCTACTTAAGTAAATATTTCTGGAAAATAGTAGCATAATATTTTGGAGTAATTTATACTGAGTTTTGCATTTGCAAGGAACTTTCTGCTAGTGCCAAAGAAACATGAAGCAGTCTAGAAGAAGAGAGAGAAAGGTACTAAGAAGGGTTGGTGGCCAGCGCCGCGGCTCACTAGGCTAATCCTCCGCCTGGCCTATTGAGCCGCGGCACCGGCACACCGGGTTCTAGTCCCAGTCGGGGCGCTGGATTCTGTCCCGGTTGCCCCTCTTCCAGGCCAGCTCTCTGCTGTGGCCCAGGAGTGCAGTGGAGGATGGCCCAAGTGCTTGGGCCCTGCACCCCATGGGAGACTAGGAGAAGTACCTGGCTCCTGCCATCGGATCAGCGCGGTGCGCCGGCCGCGGCGGCCATTGGAGGGTGAACCAACAGCAAAGGAAGACCTTTCTCTCTGTCTCTCTCTCTCACTGTCCACTCTGCCTGTCAAAAAAAAAAAAAAAAAAAGGAAATTAAAAAAAGAAGAAGAGTTGGTTTTCTTCTTGGTGCCCTGAAACCTGTGGTTGTCGGCTATAATGTGTGTCTCCCGTGGTTTTAGTTTTGAAGAAACACTTCACACTCATGAAAAACTTTTGACTTTGGTTGTCTTTAGAAATAAACTTATTCTTCTGATTGTTACCTGTATTTGCTACTTGTGTGACTGAAACTGAGCGGGTTCTTTACCTGTTTGTGAATTTCCATTACCCACCTGTCGCTCCCCGTCTTCGTGGAGGAACGACACAGGACCCTGCGCTGTACTTTTGACTGCTCAGCCCTCCCCGGGGTTACTGCTCATCTTACACGGATGGCTACCGACCCTTCCACCTCCGTGGAAGGGCGGTTCCCCCCGCGAAAGTGGGGAAAGTGGCAGGGGGAACCGCCCTTCCACGGAGGTGGAAGGGTCGGTAGCCAACCCGGGAAGAACCAGCAGCAAACCCGGGGAGGGCCGAGCAGACAAAAGAACAGCGCAGGGTCCTGTGTCGTTCCTCCACGAAGACGGGGAGCGACATAATGGTGCCATGACTCGGATATGAAGCCTAGGCAGGGCTTAGTGTCGTTCCTCCATGAAGAGGGGGAGCGACACCCACCCATGGCTAGTGGGTGAATTTTCCAAAGCAGGTTAGTCAACCCAGTTAACAGATGTCATTCTCATGTCCTTGTAACAGATTGTACTTAAAAATCTTCAGAGCATTGCTGGTCTTTTGCTGTTCGGTCAGTGGCTTTTACATTTTGGGAAAGTTTCCAAATAAAGACTTTTGTTTATTTTTTTTGGCAGAGACCCCTCCCCACTCCATTCGTCCAGGGATCCCTTGACTTACGAGTGCACACAGCTGGCACTGACACTGCTGCCACTCCGCCCCTCCCCATCCTCAGGAGGGAGTAAGTGGGATGGGATTTGGCCTTTGAGGGCCTACAGATATAATTCACCGGGTTTATGTTTGTATGATGAGTTCTGAACAGCCACCTTGCAATGCATCTCTGGATGTGGCCTCTCTGTAAGAGGTCAGCGTTTCCTGATCTTGGCCTTCCTGACAGTTCATAGTTTATATATCTGTGTATCTATTTCTGTCCGTCTAGTGTAGCCAGATTTAGTTCTCAAAAACTAAACATCTTTTAGTGATGGAGTGAGTGCAGGTGCTCTAAGCGTTTCAAATCACAAGACCTTTAGTTCTCCCAAATTTTGTCCTAAGGTTGCCCCCAGGTGTTTGTGTACTAGGTCTTTACACACCAAAAGTGAGACTAGCCCTTGCCTGAACGGCTGTTACTTCCTGGTGGGGGGTTGAGGGGGGGCATTGTTGGCGCGCGTTCTGTGCGCGAATGCAGGGATCCGGGCTCCAGGCAGCGGGGCTGGGCGGAGGCGGAGGCGCAGAGTCCTGCATCCCGCTGGAGCTGCCTCGGGGCGGGACGGGGCGGGGCCGTCCTGGCACGGGGAGGGATGAGGCGGGGCCGCCCAGCCCTGGGGCGAGGTGGAGGCGGAGCCGGCACGGGGCGGGGCCGGCGTGGCGTGGGGCGTGGCAGGGGCGGGGCGAGCCGCCGGCGGGCAGGGGCAGCCGCTAGTGCGCATGGGCGGGTGTCGTGTGCTGCCGTAACTGACCTCAGGCGTATATACGGTGTGGGAATCGTTGAGGAGGCAGTTCGCTACGCGCTCCCGGTCGTCAACAGGCCTGACGAAGCAAGTACCCTGAAGGAAGGTGTACAGAAAGGGGAGGCGGCGATCGTGACCGTCACCGGAAGCGAGTACTTGGTGAAGCCGGTGGAGGAGGAGGAAGAACCGATGATGGTGGAAATGGTCTGGACTCTGATGACCTCAGCTCAGGGGAGGCCCAGCTGGACCTCATCCTCCTGGGGCTGGAGGCTGATGAGGAGAAATGCCGGAGCATCCGCAAGCAGTACCGGCAGCTGATGCGGAGCGTGCAGCACAACCGCGAGGACATCGTGAACACGGCCAGCAACTCGCTCACCGAGGCGCTGGAGGAGGCCAAGGTGCTGTTCGATGGCGTGAGCCGCACCCGGGAGGCGGCCCTCGACGCCCAGTTCCTCGTTTTGGCTTCTGACTTGGGGAAAGAGAAGGCGAAGCAGTTAAACTTTGACATGAGCTTTTTTAACCAAGCAGCGTTTTGTGACTTCCTGTTCATATTCATGGGCCTAAACTGGATGGAAGACGAGCACCACGAGCTGAGTAGCTGTGATGGGACCGCGGCTCTTCACTTCTGGGAGACGCTCCAGAAGGAAGCAGCATGCTGGATGCTGCGAGCGGAGAATTTCCGCTATATCTTTGGTTCGTTCAAGCCAGAACCTTCCGTACGAAAGCCTCGACTTGAACATCAGAAGAGAGTTCGCAGACTGAAGGGAAGCGGAGACATGCCCACAAAGTTGAGGAAGCTGGACCTCAGTAGTAATCATGAGGCTACAGAGAAAGAAGTGGAGAGAATCCTGGGGTTGCTGCAGACGTACTTTCAGAAGTACCCCGACAGTCCTGTGTCTTATTTTGAGTTTGTGATCGACCCGAACTCTTTCTCTCGCACCGTGGAGAACATATTCTATGTTTCTTTCATTGTAAGGGATGGCTTTGCAAGAATAAGCCTCGACCAGGACAGACTGCCAATATTAGAGCCAATTAGTATTAACCAAGTAGATGAGGAAAATGATCCCAGTTTTCATAGCAGGAAACAAGGAATTATCTCTCTGAGTTTACAGGACTGGAAGAATATAGTGGCAACTTTTGAAATTTCAGAGGCTATGATCACAAACTCGTACTAGAAAGATTTTTGTTGCTAGTGTAGGAACTATTTTGTGTTTCCTGAAATATCTCAAAAAATGGAGAGTGAAATCTAAACAGAAATGTATATTGTATCCCATGCAAAGTGAAAAAGTGTTTTAAGAACATCAGAAGTTTTACTGTGCACTATATTTTTCTTGATAATTTACAATGTCATGGTCTTTGGTTATTAAAAAAATTTCATTGATAACCTTTATGGGAAGTTTTTCTTTTTAATGCCCTATGTGTAAGTCTGTATTTAAAAAGTAGATTCTAAGTTTCATAAACACAAGAGTATTTTACAGTTTCCAAAAAAAAAAAAAAAAAGTTACGTTCTGCAACTTTATTTCCTATAAGGGGCTCCTAATGAGGTTGGGGGAAGATGGATTAAAAGTGGTCAAGTAAAACCACCTACCTATAAGGGAATGACTATACAACATTAAAACGCCTTTTTTTTTTTTTTAAGACAACACTTGAGATACCATTGTGGAGGAGTCAGTTAAGATACATGAATGTCTATATTCTTAATTTCCCTTGTGATTGGACTCAGCAGAAGTAGAGTGTCTCTAGTGTAGTTGTCAAAAAACATCAACTATGAGGTGAAGGGTGAGTAGGAATTAAAAGATAGGAAGGGCAATCCAGGCAGGGGCATAAGTGAGGCCAAACTTGTGGAATTGTGAGAATTTAGGGTGCAAGAGGACATCAGGTTTTTGGGAAAATGGTTTTCTTTGAATGCTAAGCTGGCAAATTGGATGACCTCATCTATTAGTATCCTCAGAAGGGGAGAATATTTTTGTCAGGCTACTTCAACCACAGAATCTATAATGTTGCGTTGTAGGCTTTGTCTTACTGGTTAATTTCCTTCCTAGTTCCTGGATTCCCCTTGTAATTTCTGCTAGTGTGCTGTGTCCTTCAGAGTCTAGAGTTTCAGCGTGTTAGAACTGAATGTTTGTCTCAGGTCTGTTTGCACCGTTTATCCAATTCTTCATTTAGTATAAAACTATAAAGCATTTTGTTTAAAATTGTTTTAAGAATATTAATTGCAACCATATTTAGAGATGACTGCCGAATATTTGAGTCACTAAGTAAATAACCTCAGAATTTGCAGTGGGCATGCCCATAGGCTCTTAATCTTTGCTAGTTGAGGAATTTTGCCATTAAACGTAATTTGGCAAGTGAGTATGTTATCTCTGATGCTTAGTGGTACTAACAGTACTTTCATACTAAGTCTAGTGTGGTACCAATAACGGCAAGATCAGTAGGAGGGATATTATGTGGGAAGGGTTCTGCACCAATAATGCAGCAGAGGTTGTAGCAGAGAGTTTTTCATGAAACTGTCCCAGCTATGTTCTAAAGTAGTCATTCCTTCCCCTTTCTCCCCTAAAGAAGGGCTAACCCTTCTGAGTGTTTACTGTGCTTTATCTGTAAGGGAAGCATCCTTGGGTCTTACTGGCCCTTACTTCACCATCACAAGTTCTGTGCTGTTGGAGGAAGAGATACATAGTCCCACTGGGAGCAGAAAGATCCTGTTTCAGTTCCGCACTCAGCATCACATTGTTCTGTCATGATTGCCTCGTGTCTTCACTAGGAGTGTTTTACATGTAGTGATGACTTATCAGCTTCAGGAGAGAATGTAGAGGTTTTACAAAAGGTTTTTTTTTTTTTTTCTTTTTTTTTTTTGCATTTTCCCTGAAGTTATAGCTGTACGTATAAAGTTATCCACTTGTTTTGTTTCTTTCTGTACTGGTGATTGTGACATACAGGGTGCCACATCAGTTTGAAATTGAAGCCACTGCTTGCATTAAATAAAAACTGGCCAATGGGGAGAATTACAGAGATAAAGAACCAAACAGGGGCCAGCACCATGGCTCACTTGGTTAATCCTGTGCCTGCGGCGCCGATATCCCATATGGGTGCCGGTTCTAGTCCCAGTTGCTCCTCTTCCAGTCCAGCTCTCTGCTGTGGCCCGGGAAGGCAGTGGAGGATGGCCCAAGTGTTTGGGCCTCTGCACTCGCGTGGGAGACCCAAAGAAAGCACCTGGCTCTTGGCTTTGGATTGGCGTAGCTCCGGCAGTAGCGGCCATTTGGGGGGCAAACCAATGGAAGGAAGACCTTTCTCTCTGTCTCTCTCACTGTCTAACTCTATCTGTCAAAAAAAAAAAAAAAAAAAGAACCAAATAGAAGTCATCTGGTTTTCCACTAGTAGAGAGTATCTTAAATTTTTCAGATTTGATAAATAAACTCAACTTCAGGAGAATAAAATAGGCTGCTTAGAAAAATTACAACTTTATTGATCAAATGAACCTGTTTATAGGACCTGGACCTGTTTATAGGACCTGGGATCAGATTTTGACTGGTTATGCATCATGGGTAAATTATGTAATCTGTAAACTCAAAGTTTTGACCTGCTAAATGGGAATAGTACCTATTTCTTAATAAGGATCAAATTAGAAAATATAAGTGACAAGTACTTTGGAGTATGAATTGCTAGGTATGCTGTAGTGGAAGAAGCAAAAATATTTGTAACTGTACAGATTTAGGTTTCATTTTCTGTTGATAGGCAAGTTTCTTAATCTCTAAGGGACCCTCTCTAGGAAATGGGAATGATACCTGCTTAGAAGACTTTATTGTGAGGACTAGTTGGGATATGATGTATATGAAAAAATCCACAGTGTCTTTCTCATTGTAGACCCTCCTGTTAGTGTCCCATTGTCTAGATGAGGGTCAGCAAATTCCGTGATGTCACCTCCTTCCATGGTGACCTTTTTAATGATTCACTCACTCTTGTGAGTCTAAGCAAGAGTTTCTCACTTTTGAGATCCTTGCCTTTGTTCTGGGGGATCCATTACCAAGTGATTGAGTTTGAGGCATGGCTAATTTTCTCAGCAGCTGGTAAAGCACTATTTGGGCCCTGGGAAAAAAGTGGTGGACGGAAAACTGCCCATCTCATGGAATTTATATGGTAGGGGATGTATTTGTTTCTTGTGAATGACTGCTGTAACAAATCACCAAACATTTGAGTGGCTTTAAACAACACTCATTTTATAGCCCTGGAGGTTGGGTGTCCAACTAAAACTGGTTTCATTGGCTAAAACTAAAGTATGGGCAGGTCTGGTTTATCCTGGACTGTCCTCAAAGCTGGCAGTGCGGCCTCCTGCCCCTGTCATTTCTCTCATTCTAATTCAGTCCCCACCGTCTTCTTCTAAGGGCCTTTAGAATTACGTTGGGCCTATTGGGCTAATCTTGGAAATTCCCCCTGTCTTCAGAACCTCACTTGAATCTCCAAAACCCCATTTACTGGGACCTTTCTTCACAAGGGCTGGCAGTTCAGACTTTCATGTTGGAGGATGACCATGGTTCAGCCTGTCACAGAGGAGGAGACGAACAGTGTTCCTATTGGTGATGGTTGTTCCAAAGGAAAACTGCTTGGATAGTGGTTGAGGTGCTGCTCAGAAAGGATGGTAAGGGAAGGCCTCTGAAAGGAGGACTTGGAAACTCTGTCATAATTGTAGCATAATACTTGATACAGAATAAATGTTAAATATTATCTAGGCACTGAACAGTTAGGTGCATACTAGCAAAAGATACAGATAAATGGTCATGGATAATCCACTTCCCTTATTCTAAGAGAAGCCTAGTATTAAAAGCATCTCTACTTCCCTGAGTGGAAGATGATTCTTTTTAAATATTAATTTACTTGAAAGGCAGAGCAAGGTAGAGAAAGGGAGAAGAGGGCTTCCATTTGCTAGTTCATTCCCCAAATGATAACAGCCTTGTCTGGGCCAGAGAGGACCCAGGAGCCAGGAATTTAATTCTGGTCTCCAACATGGGTAACAGGAGTCCAGTTTTCTCTTGGAAACTTGGGGCTGTCTTTCTCTGCTTTCCCAAGTGCATTAGCAGGAAGCTGGATCAGAAGCAGAACAGCTAGGACTTGAACCTGTACTCCATCTACTCCAATATGGGATGCTGGTATCAACCACTGTACCACTGTGCCATAATGCCAACCCCATACCTTGTGCTCTTCAAAGTGTTTTCTGTGTGTTTAATGGGTAAGAAAACTGAAGCACAGTTAAGTATACCCAATCTTGATATATAGTACAGTTGGAGCTGGTATCATTCTAAAAGTGTTTTTTTTTTTTTTTTCAATAAAGATTACTTATTTATTGAAAGGCACAGTTACAGAGAGGCAGAGAGAGAGAATTGATCTTCCATCCCTTGGTTCACTACCCAAATGGCTACAACATCCAGGGCTGGGCCAGGCCAAAGTCAGGAGCCAGGAGTTTCTTCCAGGTCTACCATATGGGTGCAGGGGCCCAAGTACTTGGGCCATCCTCTGCTGCTATCCCAAGTGTATTAGCAGGGACCTGGATTGGAGGTGGAGCAGCTGAGACTTGAACCAGTACCCATATGGGATCCTGGTACTGCAGGTGGCAGCTTTACCCTCTGTGCTGCAGCACCAGCCCCTAATGCATGGTTGGCACTGAAGATGCAGATATGAAAGATAAGATGTCCTTGTAGAGTTGATGGTGGCGGTGGGATCTCAGAGGAGCAACACCCAATTCAGGCTGTCAAGTAAAGACTTCCAGTTAGGTTTTGGAGTGGAGAAAAGAAGAAATCCTGGGTCTGTGGGGAACGGTCTGTGCTCAGTGCCTTAACAACGTGTGTTGGAGTGGCAAGAAAGAAAAGGAGAATATTTGAGAATCTTAAGGAGACTTGGTGCATGGAAGGGACCTTGTGTTGGTAAAAGAACCTCCCTGGTCCCCAGGAGAATGCTTTAGCAGACGATGTATCAGGGTACACTGAATAGAAGTAATAGAACGTTGGGCTAATCTGTGTACCAGGTCAGGACTGATAGAAGGAGGACATTCCGCTGGGACGTGGTGCTGCAGGACACCTGTAGGACATACTGCAAAGCCTCTCGACTTAGTCCCAGGCAGAAGGGGAGAATTAATGATTTACAGAGACTGCTTCCTTCCAGCCATGTGCTAATGCGCATCACTTTCCCAGCAATGTGGTGTGGTCCAGGGGCATGTTATCCTCATTTCACATGGAGTGAGAACCATGGAGGCTCCTAAGGATAAGATACTAAGCAAGCCTCACCTCAGAAGTGGCGGAGCACGCATGTTAATCCGGTTTCACACTGGAGCCATGTAGAAAGGGAAGAAAAACCAGTATACATCAGTGGCAAAGGATAGGAATTGTGCTTGTGGGGGAAATCAGGGTTGCTTATCCTAGTTTTAAAGAAATGTGCAACAGTGAAATTGCTTTTGATGTTGTGTCCTTTTCTGGGGAGTCTGGAGCAGTGTTTATTTCTAGGAATGGGGTAGAAGAAGCATTGCTGTGAGAGGCAGGTGGGAGAAAGGGAAGACGGTGCAGGGTGTCAGCCTGACCTGTCAGCAAGATGAGCACCTTCAGGTGGGAGGGGGAGGGGGGCGGCGGCATCAACACTCAGCCTAGAGTGATGGGTCTCAGAGTGCAGTCTGCGGGGCCCAAGTTCCTTTTCGGGGGACTGGGAGGTTAAAATTATTTTATAATACTGAGATGTTTTTTGCCCTTTCTGTTTTAATTTTCTGCAAGATTACTATGAAGCTTACTAAAAGCCTGTGTCCCAGGCCATATTGGAATAGACAGAAGCAGCAGCAGATAATGAGCTGTCTTTTGTTAAGCCAGACATTAAAGAGAATTCCAAAGATACAGAACAGTGGTTCTCTTGTCACTGACTAAAGCAGTTTCTCTAAAAATATTTGTTAAGAAGTAATGGGTATATTATTTTTTTAAAAAAATATTTATTTGAAAGAGTTACAGAGAGAGGAGGAGGAAACAGATTTTCCGTCCATTGGTTCCTGTTCCAGATGGCTGTGTTTTAAAATTTAATACTTTAATTGTTTTTAATATGTATTTGTTTTAAATTGTGTTTTTTAAAAAGATTTATTAATTTAATTGAAAGAGCTACAGAGAGGCAGAGGCAGAGTGAAAGAGAGAGGTCTTCCATTTGCTGATTTACTCCCTAAATGGCTGCAATGGCTGGACCTAGGCCACCAATCCGAAGCCAGGAGCCAGGAGCTTCCTCCAGGTCTTCCATGTGTGTGCCAGGGTCCAAGGACTTGGGCCATCTTCTGCTTTCCCAGGCCATAGCAGAGAGCTGGACTTGAACTAGTGCCCATATGGGATTCCAGCACTGTAGGCGGTGGCTTTAGCCTCCAGGCCACAGTGCTGGCCCCTTAATTTGTATTTATTTATTTGAGAGAGAGAGGGTGGGAGGGAGGGAGGGAGGAAGCAAGCAATTCCATCTGCAGGCCCACTCCCCAAATACTTCCAATAGCTTGGTGGGGAAGCTGGAAGCAGGGAGTGTGATCCAGGTCTCCTGTATGGGAGGAAGGAACCCAATTACTTGAACCATCACTGCTGCTTCCCAGGGTCTACATTAGCAGATAATGAGCCCACGCATTCCTATGGGGATACAGGTATCTTGGCTGGTGCCCCAATTGCTAGACCAAATGCCTCTCCCTGTGTTCATTTCAAATGTGGTAAATATGAATTGCTAAAAACCCATATTAACAAAAATTCTTTCGAGGCTCAGATAATTTAAGGTTGTTAACAGGATCCTGAGACTGCCAACAGGTGTGAGAGCTTCCGGCATCAACCCCCACAGCTAGCCGCCCTTAAACTGAACACTTGCAGTTGGAGGAGGGTGGGAGCACGTTTTCCTCTGGTCTCCGCCCTGTGTCTGCTCCCTTCTTATGCTCTCTGGGAGCTGTCTTCTACCACCTGTTCTACTTGTATTTCAGGTGGGATGCCCTTCATCTGGAGCTGAATGACAGCAGTTTTTCAATTTTAAGTTCAGTTAAAACTCAGCCATATATTTAGTTCTAGGGTCATCCAAATACTTGCACTTGCCTCTAACCAATTCTTCCTTACAGAGTTAAATATGTTCAGGGCTTTCTTTGTAAACATCTGTATGCTGTTGCCAAACTGGAACCCAAGAAACCAGGTCACATCCAGAATTTCAGTAAAGAGCAGATTGTGAACGTTGGTAGGGACAGTATTTGTGTTTACAGCGTTTCATCTTTTTATTTGTTCTGCTAGGAGTGTTGGGAGGCTGGGGGCCCTAAGAAAAGGCAGTCTTCCTTAGATAGCCAGTGATTGTGTTCTGGCCCCATCTGTGCTGAGTATGTGCAGGGAAAATGAAGCTGAGTATAGAAATGCTGTGTGTGGCTCTTCCAGAAGAACATCTAGCTGCATTCATGTATTACCCTTTCTTGTCTTTCTCTTCTTGCTTTAAGATTTATTTTATTTTATTAAAAGGCAGAGTTACAGAGAGAGAGAGAGAGGGAGAGACGCTTGCTCCCCAAATGGCTGCAACAGCTGGGGCTGGACCAGCCCAAAGCCAGGAGCTTCGGTCAGGTCTCCCATGTGGGTGCAGGGACCAAGCGCTTGGGCCATCTTCTGGTGCTTTCCCCAGGCACATTTAGCAGGGAGCTGGATCAGAAGTGGAGCAACCCAACTGGTGCCCACATGGGATGCCAGCGCTGCAGGCAGCAGCTTAACCCACCATGCCACAGCACTGGCCCCAGGTATTAGCACTTCTAACCCAGCCAGTCATGCTGTTGAAGAGCTGGGTCAGGGTGACACTGGTTCTCCGCAGCTTCGGCTGGTCCTTTGGTCTGAATGGCTGTTATCACCCAATTGTTTCTCCCCCACAGTGCCTGGTACTGAACGAGGAAGCTCTGCTGTAATGCCAGTCTGCAAACACTGGCTCTGTTTACCATCCACTCACCTTAGACCTTTTGTGCAGACTGTCAGGGTGGCGCAGTTTTGTCCCCACTGCCGCTGGTTTCGTCCCCACTGCCGCTGGTTTCCAGGTGTTAGCCCTTCAGTCCCTGAGCCACCACGTGCGTCCACCATGCTGCCAAGGGGCAGCCACAGCGCTGTGCCGCCGCCTCCACAGCCCTCCACTGCACCCCCTCCCGAAACATCCCAAGCACCCTGTTCATCTGCTGACCCCAGCCTCTGCCCTTCAGCCCCTACGTGTGATTGTAGGCAGGAGGAAAATGTGCGGCCTGGGCTGGTAAGTTTGAGGGCCTTTTTGGTTATTAAGATTAAGACTTGATTTGAAAAAAAAAATTATTGTTCTTACTAATTTTTCAGTCATTATCCCATGTTAGCATAGAATTTTATTTTATTTATTTTTAAATGTTTTAGAAGATTTATTTTATTTATTTGAAAGAGTTACAGAGAGAGGTAGAGACAGAGAAAGAGGTCTTCCATCCGCTGATTCACTCCCCAAATGGCCTCAGCTGTTGGGACTTGGCCAGGATGGAGTCAGGAGCCAAGAGCTTTCTCTGGGTCTCCTGTGTGAGTGCAGAAGCCCAAGGACTTGGGCCATCTTCTGCTTTTCCAGGTACATTAACAGGGAATTGGATCGGAAGTGGAGCAGCTGGGACTTGAACAGGTGGCTATATGGAATGCTGGCACTGCAGGCTTTAATCCACTGTGCCACAGCTCAGGCCACCAGAATTTTATTTTAATGTAGTGTTTAAATATGTCACCAAAACGGTCTTCCAAATTCATATGAAATATAACTAATGTGTCCAACTAGTGAAAAGGATTTTTTTTTAACTTATTCTGAAAGAGAGAGAGAGACAGACAGACAGACAGAGACAAACAGATCTTCATCTGCTGATTCATTCCCCAAATGGCCACAATGGCCAGTGCTGGGCCAGACTGAAGCCAGGAGTTTCATCTGGGTCTGCTGTATGGGTGAAAAGGGCCCAAGCACCTGAGCCATCTTAAACTGCTTTTTCCAGGACATTAGCAGGGAGCTGGATCAGAAAGGAGCAGCCAGAACACAAAGCAGCACTCAATGAATGCCGGTGTCACAGGCTGTGGCTTTATCTGCTATGTCACAGCACTGGCCCCTGCTGTAGGTGTTTAACTATACTTGTATTTACCAGGCTGCCATCTTACTCTGAGACTTTAGCCCGTTAATTCTACTTTGACTAAAAAGTGAAGATGATTGCCAGACTGTATTGACAGTTCCACTAAAGCATGTGGTACATACAAGCTAAAACTGGTTTTAAACCTTGTTGAAAAATTCTGGGGAGAAATAGCTGATCACACTTACCGTAGGCAGAGGTTGATTTTGTCGGGCCGTTGGGACCTTACTGCTGTAGAAGTCGCGTCTGAATGCTTCAGAGAGGTGACCGCTGACGCGCAGAGGCACAGGGACGCAGTCCTCAGGGCTCTTGACTTAAAGCAGATTCTGCTCACCACTCGAAGGAGGGCTGGGTATTCCCACGTCTGTGCTGTAAGGTACATCACACGTTTTTCTGTCTAAAATTTGTTTTGCTTTTCTTTAAAAGATTTTCTTAGCTTTCGGAACATTGCTGCTTTTTAAGTTAACTTATTTCCTCTTCGATTGTTTTCCTTCAGGCTTACCAGGAAGGCACACTTCAAAAGCTCCTGAAGATGAATGGTTCTGAGGACCTTCCCCCGTCCTATGACTATGACCTCATCATCATTGGCGGCGGCTCCGGAGGACTGGCAGCTGCCAAGGCAAGGCTCCTGGTGCTGTGTGTTCTCTGCACTCGGTGTCCAGGGCAGAGTTGGTCTCTGCAGTCTCTGTGGAATTTATTCTATTCACTCTTGTGGCATTTTGCATATTAACTTCAGTATTTACTTTATACATAATTTTTCTAAGTTGAATATATTTGCTCTTTATGAAAAAGGGCCTGGTATTTGGGGATGCATTTTCACTCATTTTAAGTTTAATTGATTCTTCATAGATACTAAGAATACTGTGTGTGTGGAAGTGGTTTGAAATTAAATGTTTCTTTCTGTACATATTATTATTTGGTTTCTCACCTTCATGATTCCCTGTTTATAGCCTGTTTGTGAAAGAAGGAGGACAGTTGTATTTCTTAAAGTCATTTATTAGAAATGATCTTCCTTCTGAGATTAACCACTAGCCCTGTGGCTTACAGCTAACTGGGAAGAGGGTGTGTGAATAAAGGTTAGCAGGAAGGCTCCTGGCCTGAGTGGAGATGTATTATATGAGGAGTCCTTAGGCCCATCCTTCCCCCACAGGTTTTTTTTTTTTTTTTTTTTTTTTTTTTTTTTTTTTTTTGACAGACAGAGTGGACAGTGAGAGAGAAAGGAGAGAGAAAGGTCCTTTTCCGTTGGTTCACCCCCTAATGGCCGCTGCAGCAGGCGTACTGCAGCCAGCGCACCACGCTGATCCAAAGCCAGGAGCCAGGTGCTTCTCCTGGTCTCCCACGGGGTGCAGGGCCCAAGCACTTGGGCCATCCTCCACTGCACTCCCGGGCCACAGCAGAGAGCTGGACTGGAAGAAGAGAAACCGGGACAGAATCTGGCGCCCCGACTAGGACTAGAACCCAGGGCGCCAGCGCCACAAGGCGGAGGATTAGCCTATTGAGCTGCAGCGCTGGCCCCCACAGGTTCTTTTAAAGGTTGAAGAAAGGGACCAGCGCTCTGATATAACAGGTAAAGCTGCCACCTGTAACACCGGTATCCCATTATTGGCACCAGTTCAAGTCCTGGCTGCTCCACTTCCTATCCAGCTCCCTGCTAATGCATCTGAGAAAGCAGTGGAGGGTGGCCCAAATTCTTGGGCCCCTGCACCCACATGGGAGACCTAGAAGAAGCTTCTGGCTTGTGGCTTCGACCTGGTCTAACCCCGGCCATTACAGCCATTTGAGGAGTGACCAGTGTATGGAAGATGAAGATCTCTGTCTTTCTATCTGTTTCTCTCTCTCCCTCTCTCCTCACCCTCCTCTCCCTCCCTCCTTCCTCCTCCTCTCTCTAACTCTGCCTTTAAAATAAATAAAAATAAATCTTTTAAAAAGGTAGATTCAAATGAAGGAGGACAATGTCTAGCATGAAATAATGCTTTGCCAAAAGTGATTCAGGAGTCACTGTTGATGTCTGTCAACACTGCTGACGGACACATAGATGCATTCCTTTCAGATAACCTTTGAAGGTCTAGTTGCTGGAACACATGGCTGGCTGACTGAGAAAGATGAAAAGTACTCTGCAGATGAACTTGAGACTGTTCTCTTCACTTCCCTGAAATAGATTTGGAAACTAGGTTTGTCATCAACCTCTTCATGGGCTTCTCACATGAAAATTTTAGGAAATCTGACAATTTCAGTAGAAAATGTCTCCAGTATTCTTCAAGACTTGGAAATTTAGAACATACTTGATAAAACTAACAACACCTAGCGGCGCCGGCACACCGGGTTCTAGTCCCGGTCGGGGTGCTGGATTCTGTCCTGGTTGCCCCTCTTCCAGGCCAGCTCTCTGCTGTGGCCAGGGAGTGCAGTGGAGGATGGCCCAAGTGGTTGGGCCCTGCACCCCATGAGAGACCAGGATAAGCACCTGGTTCCTGCCATCGGATCAGCGCGGTGCGCCGGCCGCAGCGCGCCGGCCACAGCGCCATTGGAGAGTGAACCAACGGCAAAGGAAGGCCTTTCTGTCTCTCTCTCTCTCACTGTCCACTCTGCCTGTAAAAAACAAACAAACAAAAAAAACACTAACAAGCTAATGTTTTAAAAAGTATTCTAATACACAAGTTGAGTCAAAGACTGTAGACTATCAGTAAGCCTGATTTACCAGCTACTTAACCAGTTACTGGGAAATGGCCTTATTTTTTGTCAGATTATTGCTTAATTTGTTATTGTGTAAGTGCCATTAAAGAAGATTGTAAGTTTTCCAGCTGGTTCTTTTTTTTTTAATTTATTTATTTATTTAAAAGAGTTACAGAGGCAGAGAGAGAGGGAGGGAGGGAGGTCTTCTGCCTGCTTGTTCACTCCTCAGATGGCTATAACAGCTGGAACTGGACCAATCTGAAGCCAAGAGCCAGGAGCTTCTTCTGGGTCTCCCACATGGATGCAGGGGCCTGAGCACTTGGACTGTCTTCCACTGCTTTCCCAGGCCGTATCAAGAGAGCTGGATCAGAAGTGGAGCAGCTGGGACTCAAACGGGTGCCCATGTGGTATGCCAGCACTGCAGGTGGCGGCTTTACCTGCTACGCCACAGTGCTGGCCCCTCCAGCTGGTTCTAACAATTTTACAACAATAATCTGCATAATCTTCAACTATTTTAATGTTTTTCTTTTTTTAAAGATATATTTATTTATTTGAAAGTGAGAGTTACTGAGGTGGAGGAGCATGGGAGAGAGCAATCTTCCATCTGCTGGTTGACTTGCCATATGACTGCAGCAGCCAGGGCTGGACCAGGCCAAAACCAGGAGTCTCCCACATGGGTGTCAGTGGCCCATGGTTCTCCCACATGGGTGTCAGTGGCCCAAACACTTGGATCATCTGCAGCTGCTTTTCCCTGGTCATTAGTAAGAAGCTGGATTAGAAGTAGAGCGGCCAGGATATGAACCAGTGCCCATATGGGATTCCAGTGCAGCAGGCTTTACCCTCTGTGCCACAATGCCAACCTGATTTGAATATTTCTTTATTTTTATCTTGGAGTTGAATTAATCATCATGACGTGAAATTCTCATGTATTAATAGCTGTTTATTCTTTAGGCATTTATAGCTTCATAGAGACCAGATTTTAACAGTTCATTTCCAGTTTGTCATGCGATACTTTTCAACTGATTTTAACAATTTTATTTTCTAGGAGGCAGCCAAATATGGGAAGAAAGTGATGGTTCTGGATTTTGTCACCCCAACTCCTCTTGGAACTAGATGGGGTAAGCTTTTAAAAATATTTTAGACTTGGTTTTTATAGGAGTAAGTCTTTCCTTGGTACTGATCAAATGGCTCCTAAATCCCACTTTAAAAATTAAAAAGCAAACCAAAAATATAAACCTTTTTCACTTGAGCTAAGCTAGAATGGACTCAAGTTAAATGCTGAAAACTCAGTTTTTTTGACACAAAGTCAGGGTAGTAAAAACCTTGTCTGCATGCTGCGATTTGAAGGTAAATGTTTTAGTAACCTAGTATTCTTCGGGACTTGCATAACTGAAAATGCCAACTTCTCATCTGTGGGTTTCTGTTTTCACTCCACCTCCCACATTCCACAAGAACTGGGATCTGTGGCACCTTAATGGATAGCATTGCTGCTTCTGAGTCTTGATGAATTATATGTTCCTTATTTTATTTACTGCACATTTACTGAACACTTACAAACTGGGACCATGAGGATAGGCAGTGAATTTGGTACGTGAGGAGCTGCCACCCTCATGGAGCTTATATTCTAGTGGGGAGACAGAAGATAAGTGTGCTGAGAACACTGTGGGATAGGGAGGAGCTGGGTAGAGGTGAGCATTCCACTTTGAGAAGATTATCCAGAAAGACTTCCGAAGAGCTGACATGCATTTATCTAATTTTAAAGATTTATTTACTCAGTTGAAAATCAGAGAGAGATCTTCCATCCACTGGCTTACTCCCCAGATGGCCACAACAGCTGGGGCTGAGCCAGGCGAAAGCCATGAGGAAGGAGGTTCCCTTGTGGGTGGCAGGGGCCAAGCACTTGGTCCATCTTCTGCTGCCTTTCCCAGACCATTAGCAGGGAGCTGTGTCAAAAGTGAAGCAGCTGGAACTCGAACCAGTGCCCATATGGGATGCTGGCACCACAGGTGGCTGCTTTACCTGCTACGCCACAGTGCTGACCCCAGAACTAGCATTTAAATGAAGCCATGACAGTGGTAATGAGAACAGCCAACTATGCTAAAAGCTGAGGTAGAACCTCCCAGGCAATTTTCCTCTCTTTCCCAGAGAATAGCACATGTAAAGGCCCTGGGGTAGGTAAGAGTCTCTTGTGGTGTGGCACAGGTCACAGAGGTTGGAGGTAGTAGTATAAGCAATGGGAGGAAGGCAGGTGTCAGACTGTACAGGATCTTGTAGGCCAAGGTGAAGAATTTGTACTGAAAACAGTAGTGTGGGAAGCCTTTGAGGAATGGAAGTCAAGGGAGTAATGTGACATGTAAGTTTTATGAAGATACTTGACTGTTTGCATGTGAAGGTGGCAAGAATCAGGAGGTCCAGATAGATCTCCGTTTCCAGTTTATTAATGAATACTAAGTTCAGCTCTGTGTCAGGCACAGTTCTTGGTGCTCAGTGTATCTTCCGCCCTGTGGTGCCTGCACTCCAGTGTGACACTCAGAGGGCTGACTGAGAGCTCAAGACCACAGGCACCTTGCGCTCTAACTCGTGTCATTTGGCTTCCCCCTCACCTGCCTCTGTTTGGTTCTAAGTCAGAAGCTGTTGCCATGTTCTTTAAGCAGAGGACTATTGCAGCTTTGTAGAATCAAGTGAAAACTTTAGGCCACATCCTTCAAAAAGGCACATACGTGGTTTCAAATCCACTGCAGTCTAAATATACCCAGCATAGCAGCACCCCCACCCCTGACAGTTAGTTCTGTGCCTAGGTTCAGTGGCAAGTTTATGGTTGTCGTGTTTATCAGCAGTCAGGTCACTTTGGATCTTTGAAATATATAGAAATTGCAGAAATATGCTTGTGTTTGTTTTGTTTTAGGATGATGTGTTTGGAATGCTGTGTTTGGTATGTAGTGCTTTCTGAAATCCCATAAGAGTTAGAAATAAATTTACATAAATGATATTGACTACATCAAGCGAGTAAAATACCGTGTTTGACAGAATTTTAATCATCACTGACCTTTTCCTTTTGAAGGCTTGTAAAGCAGGCTCTAAACTGGTTTCTCAATGTCGTTGCAGGTCTCGGAGGAACGTGCGTGAACGTGGGTTGCATACCTAAAAAACTGATGCACCAGGCGGCTTTGTTGGGACAGGCGCTGCAAGACTCTCGCAATTACGGGTGGAAATTCGAGGACACTGGTATGGAGGGAAGAGCTGAGCTTTGATTGGTGCTTTGCAGTTTTGAGCTGCGGCCTTGAAGTGCCCTGTCCTTTTCACAAGGCTGGCAAATACTCTGGGAGTTGTTTCTGTTGTTTACATTATTTATGGATGAAATCACTGCACTTTTCCTTAACTACATAGTTATTATGGTAAGAACAGACACTACATTTGGAGTATGGTATTTCTATAATAGAAAACCAGAATTCTTTGAAATAAGTTCTCATGTATTTGTAAGAAACCCATACAGTGTTAGTAATTTGTAAGGAATTACAAATTACGTTGGCTTCCTGTTGAGGCTATTGCATTTTTCCCTCTACAAATAAATCTGTTTCCTGAGCTGATATATTGAGAGGTTAGACTTTGTTGGATTAAAAATATTTTAAGAGTGCTCTAGAAACCTTAGACAGGCTTGTACTCTGCCAGGAGGGTCGGGGGAGGCCTGGCACAGCTTTGTGACTAATTCGTGACCTACATCATTCTGTCCTTAAACATTGAAGCTCCAGTTTTGAGATTCATGATGTATGCGGTGTTTGAGGGAAAGTCTTCCACTCAATAGCTAGGATTAACTATTTTGTGGCTTTTTTTGAGTTGCAATGAATAATCTACTGAAGGCAGAAAACCCAGTGCATAGTTTAGTCATACATGCTTTGAAAAATGTTGCTCCCATTCATACTAGTCATGCCTCCTCAGTTTATGCTTTTACTTCTTGTTTAAAATCAATAGTATTGTTTTTATGACTGAGGTCTTACAAAATCAGTTACTTTTAAAGTTTCCTCGTGTTGAGGGTCACATCTGTTTCTTCAGACCCAATACCAGGCTGCCTTCTGCCTGTGACTGGGGGGGCTTGCGGCTGTGCTGAATATCTGGTATGTGCTTCTGAGCCCACCTTGTTTTCTCAACCCGTCTACATGTGCAGTTGCATAGACTCTTCTGACTGTGAAACATGGGTTTGATCCATAGGGTGCCAGTCATCTATCACTCTACTGCCTTTTCTGTCCTCCACATTCTTACTGACTCACGTGTCTGAATGTCTACCAGCGAGGCTGCCCATACATGCCCATCCCCCTCCTGTTATCAACAGGGTCTCCTTCAGGGAGTTTATTTGACTGCTTGGTTGACATTTTAGAAATGCTATGGCTTGAGACATACAACAAGAATATTCATCTGAAAAGGTTTAGAATCTGTTGGAAAAAAAGGAATCCACACAGATTTTGATTTATGGAAATTGCTTTTGTGATTTCCATACAGTCTCCTTCCTGTGCCACTGACTCGTAAATTTAGATAAGTTATAATGCCAGGGAAGTGTCACTCAGGCTCATAAATTTTCTTCATCTGTGTGGGGTTTAGTTCCCAGATTTGTGTATGGTACTAGTGGATGTTAGCCTTATGCTATCAACTGGAGAAATGTAGTCAGTAGAACATGGGGGCTTAATATGGTTGGAATGTAGAATATGTACTGGGGCTACAGGTTTACTTTATCGGGTTAGGAAGCTGAAAGGAAAAGTAAATAAATAAAAATTTATTTGTTTATTTGAAAGGTAGAATGACAGAGAGAAGGAGAACAATCTTCCATCCACTGGTTCATTCCCCAAATGCCCACAATGGCTGGGGTTGGGCTAGGTCAGAGCCAGGATTTTAGAACTCCAGCTGGGTCTCGCACATGGGTGGCACAGGTCCAAACACTTGGGCCATCTTCCTCTTTTCCGGGTGTATTAGCAGGGAGCTGGATCCAATTAGAGCAAGCTTGGACTTGAACTGACTCTCCAGTATGGAATGCCAGCATCGTAGGTGGTGGCTTAACCTGCTGCACCACAACACCAGCCCCTAAATTTGAATTTTAATAATGGGGCCAACTAAATATAATTAGAATTAACCCTGTGTGTGTGTGTATACACACACACACATACACACACACCCCAGCAATTATTATTTACAATCCAAAGTAAAATTCCAGTTCATTTCTAGATAAAACAGAATGATTGTGTATGACTATTATGTTTTTGACAATTGTCAAGAAGCCTTGCCTTACTCTGCTGAAAGGGGAAAAAAATCTTCAAAGATGAAAAAGTTGCTGATGTTCTCAAAGTGAAGAACTCCTCTTTTCTCTCAAAAGCTTTGCTTTTTTGTGTTACGCAGTTGAAAAGCTAAATGTTCTATCTTTATTACACAGTTGAACATGACTGGGAGAAAATGACAGAAGCGGTCCAGAATCACATCGGCTCTCTGAACTGGGGCTACCGAGTAGCCCTGCGGGAGAAGAAGGTGGTCTATGAAAATGCCTATGGGGAATTCATTGGTCCTCATCAGATTAAGGTAATTGTGTGACATACTGAGTTACTTTTTCAAAATGAGATTTGGTTGGTGGTAGGGGTGGAAAAAAATACCATGAAGTATGAAAAGTGTCATAAAAGTAATAACCCCTGTGACCCAGCCCTTCCAGGTTAGTGAATTTGCCACCACACCTTCCTGGGGCACCTTTGGTGGGGGAGGGGGCTGTGGGGTTACTTACCAGGCCAGATGCTCCGGGTTTGAGGCTTGAGCAAGTCCGTTAACTTCTCAGCCTTACTATGTCTTTTTTTTTTTTTTTTTTAATTTCTCAGGCCTCTGTGGCTTTCTCATTAAGATCCAAGATTTCTTTCGTAACCTTCTGTGACTTCCACACACCCTCTTCAACTTGAAACATTCCATCATTTCCATTCCAGTCTAGAGTAAACTAGCCATTAGGATGAAGTCAATCTTACAAACCGTGTCCTTTCTTTATTCAAAATAACTCTTTCCTTTTAACCTTCCTTAATAAATGCACATTTCTATAACATTTTTAACACAAATTTAACATGCTGAGTATACTAGAGTTTACAATAAATTAGCAGTTACACCTAAATGACTTAAGATGGTGATATTATACATCTCTACTTGAATTCAATTAAAATTTAAATTGCATCCATCTAAAACAAGTACTAATTACCCATTGCTGTTTCATTGAATACTGATTACCTGGAAACCTGTTAAAATAAATTGCAAAATAAATTCAGCAAGCTACAAAGCGATATTTTCAAAGGTAGTGATGTTCCTAGATTCAAAGAGAAATTCCTTCGAACTCAGTGTCTTTTTACAGTTACAGTTGCCTTTTTCCTAAGAACACCTTAGGCCCATGATGTCATATTCAGTTGGCCACGTGGGGCTTAGGCACTTGACCTAAAACACAGCAGACTGGAGGGGTGGGATGAAGAAGGGAAAAAGGGAGAAGGAGAGTATAAAAGCGAGACAAGAGAGGAGAGGAGCTAGGAGAGAAGAGAGAGATGAGAGGAGAGAGCGAGCAGGAGAGAAGAGAAAGGAGACCAGAGGAGGAGGCTAGAGACTCATACTGTATTACCAAGTTTGTGTGAGCATAAAATGAGACAGATAATGTCCTTTGTTAAGTATAAGTTTAAAATTCTAAGGGATGATTGCATATTGAAGTTAACATACTGTTTCTTTCGTAGGCAACAAATAATAAAGGCAAAGAAAAAATTTACTCAGCAGAGCGATTTCTCATTGCCACCGGGGAAAGGCCACGCTACTTGGGCATCCCTGGGGACAAGGAGTACTGCATCAGCAGGTGAGGGGGCAGCTCCGTGGAGTTCTGCTTTTACTTTTTTCTTCAGGCCAGTTTAGTCCAATTTTTGCATGTCAGACTGAATTCTTTGTCACACTTTTCCTTTAGGGACAAGGGAATAGAAGAGGAAAGGGAAAAATCATTTTAAGAGAACATTTGAAAAATTCAAAGCCACAAATGGTGGTCATCTTACCACACAGTTACTATCACTGCTAGCATAGTTGTACAAAGATCCACATTTATATTTGTATTTGAAAGTTATTGATGCATGTGTGTATAAGCATGTCCCATATAAAGCCACAGGGATACTCACAGACTTCTTTTAAAATAAGGGAGACACACATGTCTGTACATCTAGTTTTTGCAAAACCAGGATCGTGATACCCTGTCACCCTTGCGAAGTGGACACCAAAAAAATCAGGATGGCTGGCCATTTAAATGTATCATTCACTAGGCCCCACTCACTGCTGTTTGAATGCGTACAACATCGTTAGGGACCTTCTGAAATACGTGAGTCAAGCAAGGAGGTTTTGCATTGCAATTTTTTTTAAAATTTCCATCAGGTGATAACACTACTTAACCCTGTGGTTCAGGCATTTTACTCCTTTTATTTATTTATTTTTATTTTTATTTTTATTTTTTGACAGAGTGGACAGTGAGAGAGAGAGACAGAGAGAAAGGTCTTCCTTTGCCGTTGGTTCACCCTCCAATAGCCGCCGCGGCTGGCGCACCGCACTGATCCGATGGCAGGAGCCAGGTGCTTATCCTGGTCTCCCATGGGGTGCAGGGCCCAAGCACTTGGGCCATCCTCCACTGCACTCCCGGGCCACAGCAGAGAGCTGGCCTGGAAGAGGGACAACCGGGACAGAATCCGGCGCCCTGACCGGGACTAGAACCTGGTGTGCTGGCGCCGCAAGGCGGAGGATTAGCCTAGTGAGCCGTGGCGCTGGCCAGGAATTTTAAAATACTAGGTTATTAAGAAACATTCTTAGTAAAAATATGTCCTCTGGATGCCTTTTGCCTGGAATTCATGATTGTGCTATGAAAAGCTCTTCTTTAAACTCCTTTTTTGGTGATGAGATTTTATCTTTTATACCTTACCCAGGGGCAGCTCAGACAGCAGCTGCTGTCAATGCTGTCTTGGATGTGCGCTTTGTCACAGCTGCTGTAGCAAACAAACTGGGTGGCTTATAAACAAATTTATTTCTCCCAGTTCTGGAGGTGCCAGCAGATCTGGATCTTTTTCTTTTCCTCCCTTCCTTCAGATTTATTTTATTTATTGGAAGAATAACAGAGATGGAGAGACAGAAGACAGAATCTTCTATCTGCTGGTTCACTCCCCAATGGTTACAACGGATGGGGCTGGTGTAGGCTGAAGTCAGGAGCTAGGAACTACATCCCAGTCTCCCATGTGGTGCCAGGGGCCAAGTACCTCAGCCATCTTCGGCTTCTTTCACATTAGTAGGGAGCTGGATCAGAAGTGCAGCAGCCATGACTCGAACCTGTGCACCAGTGTGGGTTGCTGGTGTCACTGGCAGTGGCTTAACCCATTGCAGCACTACACTGGTCCCCAGATCTGGATTCTGGTGAGGCCGGTTTGCTGGTTCATAGATACTGCCTTCTTGCTGTGTCTTCGTATGTCAGGAAAAGCAAGCTGCTTTCTGGGCCTCTATATAAGACACTAATCTCAGGCATGAGGGCTCTACCTTTATGACCAAATCACCTCCCAAATGTCCTACCTCTTAATACTGTTTTTGTATTACAAAAACAAAATATTGGAAAATTTCCCCGTCTATCTCTCTACTCTTGATAATTCATGTTATAGGTGAAAAGTAACACAGTTTTCCACCTTGGAGAGAGCTGAGTAGTGGGGGACAAGGATACAGTTTGCAAATGTATGAATCGTTTCGAACAGTTCAAAATCGTTTTGGACAAATGTCAAAAGTTAAATGGCAGGGCTGGTGCTTTGGCGCAGCGGGTTAAATCCCCAGCCTGCAGTGCGAGCATCCCACATGGGCACCAGTTCAAGTGCTGGCTGCTCCACTTCTGGTCCAGCTTCCTGCTGGTGCACCTGGGAAAGCAGCAGAGGATGCCCCAAGTGCTTGGGCCCCCACACCCATGTGGGAGACCCAGAAGAAGCTCCTGGCTCCTGGCTTGGCCTGGCCCAGCCTCAGTCATTGTAACCGTTTGAGTAGTGAACCAGCTGGTGGAAGACCTCTCTCTTTCTGTCCCTACCTTTCTCAGTAACTCTGCCTTTCAAATAAATAAAAATAAGTCTTTTTTAAAAAAGTTACATGACTTACAATGTATTTAGCCAGAATAACTTGAGCTATGCCCAAAGCATCTGAATGGCAAGAAAAGACTATCTAACACCTTAAACTTCTCATATATTATGTGTTTGGTTAGTTGAGTGTTTATAATCTTGTAAGTATCTTGTTCCTGTGAAAATAAAAAGAGTTACTTTGGTTTCGTTGTTACTCATACATGAACATTTCCCCTTCCTCCTTCCTTAATTCTTTTCAGTGATGACCTTTTCTCCTTACCTTACTGCCCGGGCAAGACCCTGGTGGTTGGAGCGTCCTATGTTGCTTTGGAGTGCGCTGGATTTCTTGCTGGTATTGGTCTAGATGTCACTGTTATGGTACGGTCCATTCTTCTGAGAGGATTTGACCAGGACATGGCCAACAAAATTGGTGCACACATGGAAGAACATGGTGTCAAGTTCATAAGGCAGTTTGTACCAATTAAGGTAAGTGAGGTCGCTGACAGATTTGTTCTTCCATACTCAGGGTCTCTGTAACATTGATAGGTAGAGTATGAGCATGAGGATGAAAGTAACCTGGATTCAGATACTTCCCTGCGAGTTTCTTGCCATGTGACCTTGGAAGAGTTACTTCACCTCTCTGGACCTCAGATCTTCAGTGAACTGAGGATGATGAGTGTGTCCACCTCAGAGTTCTTGTGAGAATTACATTAGCTAGCACTTGTGAAGTACTTAGAGCAGTCCCTGCATATAGTAAGTCTAAAGTGGGTCTGTTGCATGACGTTTCTGTGAGGATTTCTGAGTACCTCATTGCTGTAGCTGTGTTTCAGGAAGTGGAGGGATGGATGATGTGTTTGCATTGGGACTGTGATTAGGATGGAAACTGCATGCACTGCACTGTACATCTTCCTGGGTGATAGCTTAACATCAGGCACTTGGGAACCCTTTTGGAAGTCTGGTGAACTGTGCCTGGTAAAATGGGACTGCTCGGGATCTGACTTCCAGTAGCCAGATGTTGAACTCACTGTGTTATGAAGTGAAGGAACCCCTACAGGGGGATAGAGAACAGAGAACACTGCGTGTGCAGAAGGCTCTGTGGGGAGCAAGACTGTCCTGCATACAGAGAGGCTTGACTGGAGCACAGAGTGGTTGAGGGAGGAAGGGTAGAGGGAGGATGAAGCCCTTACCGTTTGAAGTAAACCCTAACATCCACTGATTCAACTCTTCTCAAAAGAGAGAACATTTCCACTTAAATTAAGCAGAAAAGAATTTTGTGTGACATTCAAAGAGGTTTAGCTATTAAGAAGGGAAAGAAATTCAAGAAGGAAATCTTCACTGTTCACTGATACTGAAAATAAAATGACCCTTACCGGTTTTCCCTTTACAGTAGTTATATTTTAAAGGTGTAGTAGAAATTGCAAGTGATTTTACTGATTTCTCCTGGGAAATATTTCAGAAAAATGTATGATTTGGCTGTTATTTAGGGGGCAAAGGTCAGCTGCATACTTTTTTGTTTTTTAGAGATTTCTTTATTTATTTGAAAGTCTTAGTTACACACACACACACACACACACACACACACAATTTTGCATTCACTTGTTTACCCCCCAAATAGCCACAATGGCCCAGACTGGGCCAGGCTGAAGTCAGGAGCCAGCAGCTTCACCTGAATCTCCCAGGTAGTTGGCAGGGGCCCAAACACTTGAACCATCGTCCACTGCTTTACCCAGGCCATTAGCAGGAAGCTGGATTGGAAGTGGAACAGGCAGGACACACAAACTGGCATCCATATGGGATGCCAGCATCACAGTTGGCGACTTTACTGACTGTGCCACAAAGCTGGCCCCAAGCCATGTAACTGTTAACGTTTGTCCAGAAATGATTTTGAACTGTTTGGAATGAGTCATGCATTTGCAAACCGTGCTCTTGGCCCATGCCACAGCAAGCTTCCAGGTGATAGGGTTTCTAAGTGATCGCTGCCCAGTCTGTAGGTTATCATTGATATCTGTGTGTAGCATGCTGACGTGTTCATTCTCACTTGCTGTAGCACAGGTATCAGGACTTGCTCATTGCTTCCTAAATATGTAACAACCCAAGGCAACACCTGATTGTGATAAATACACACATCTCTTCCTACGTGGTTTTTAGGACTTTCTAGCTGTTACCTGTATTATTGACCTCTAGTTTCTGTTCCTGCTGTCAATGGGTGCTGAGCATCTGTAGGTAAAAGGGAATCTTTAAGTTTGGGCCACAGTGGTGCTCTCTGGGGTTAATTATGAGATGGGAAGCTGGGGAAAGCAGTAAGTCATTGGTTTGATTTAGTGACTGTGGTGTGTTTTCCCTGGATTTTTTTTTCTTTTTTGCATTCTCTCTGAATTTTGTTCTGTTTAAGAACCATTTGGAAGAAGACTCTTCTAGCAAACAACATAAAAAAGCAAGAAATAAGGGGATACATAAAAGAATCACTTATCATTCTAATGATGTGAAAGTGAGGGAGGTGGGACATAGAAGACCTGTCAGGACCGATTTTAACTTTGGGTTAACCAGACAGACGAGGGAAGATGCATTGTCCCCCGTGATAAGTATGTTTATTTTAGAGTGTGCCTTTTCTCCCTTTTGTAGGTTGAACAGATTGAAGCAGGGACACCAGGCCGACTCAGAGTGGTGGCCAAGTCCACCAATAGTGAAGAAACCATTGAGGGAGAATATAATACGGTAAGAAATGGCCCAGCTTAGTACTCTGCCAGAAGGCAAATAATGCGCTTGCTGAGTGTCTGCTCTGTATTTAGAGCGACTGTTTGCTGCTGCTAAAATGCACTGGTGCTGTGCCTTTTCTAATACATTGTAATTCCTTGTGATATTAGAAATTTGTTTTGGTACAGAGATGATTTCAGATTTTCTTTAAAATGTTTGTCATCACCTCGGCCTTTTGGCTAAGATCAAGTGTTATGTTGTTTGTCAAATAGCTATTAAAAGGCACCAGAATTATGAAATAAGCTAAAATTTCTATGACCCGTGTCCTTTAATCTCCTCAGCCCAGCACTTAAAAACTAAGTAAATGTAATCATGGGCTGTGCTTTGGCTCTAATCTTGATTGGGTTTATTAAGGAATTGTTAATTTCCTTTTTGTTAATCAAAAGTAAAAAATGATTTTGGCTATATCAGAGGATTTTAGTTCATTAAAGATTTTAATTAGTTTAGATACTGCATTATTTTCTTAATGACATATTTTCTTTCCAAGTATGGAAAATGAAATGAGATTGCCTTAATAAACGGAGAAAAATATGATTAATTCATGCAGAGCCTTTTTGTTAATAGTTACTAATATAGTAGTCATTTTTCAGGTATTGCTGGCAATAGGAAGAGATGCTTGCACGAGAAAAATTGGCCTAGAAACTGTGGGAGTGAAGATAAATGAAAAGTAAGAAAAAAAAATCTTATGTCATACTGATGCAATTTCAGTTAGTTTGTACATTGATCTAGAGTTCCAGATTTTTAAAAACTTTTGGAGAGTTTGCTTTTTAGGCATATAAAACTTCTTCCACTGCCATTTACGTTAGTAACTTCTGGGTTCTCCTCCCCTTTTTTGGTTATTTGTAATTCTAACTTTTTAAATATTTCTTTTTAATCATTTGAAAGGCAGAGAGAGACACACACAGAGATCATAAGCTGGTTTAATCTCTTGCAACAGCTGGGGCAGGGCCACGTCAAAGCCCGGAGCCCAGAACTCAGTTCAGGTCTCCCATGTGGGCGGCGGGGACTCCTGTGCTTCAGCCATCATCTGCTGCTTCCTCGAGTGTGTGTTAGCGGGAACCAGAAGCAGAGCCAGTACGTGAACCAGGCCAGACGCTCCAGGATGACTGTGGCGGCCCAAGTGGCGGCTGCTGCTGCACCAGACATGCCTCTGCCCAGCCTCCCCATGGTCTGTCCTTTGACCCACTCTGTCGTAGACCTCCCATTCTGAAGCTTCTTACACTCTTGTTATTTCTTCAGTTTTCAATATAGTGGCCACAGTTGTCACTAAGCAGTTTGATTCTTCTGAGATGTTTTGTTTGCTTGCTTGAAAGGCAGAGAAATGTGACAGACAAAATTCCCATCTGCTTGTTTACTCCCCAAATGCCCACAGAAGCTGAGGTTGGGCCAGGCTGAAGCTGGGAACCAAAACTCCATCCAGATCTCCCACTTGGTTGCAGGGACCCAACTACTTGAGCCATCACACGCTGTCTCCCAGGGTGTACCTTAGTTGTAAGAATGGGGAGTGGAGCCAGTATTCAAACCTTAGGTACTCAGATATGGGATGTGGGGGTTTCCAGGGGTAGCTTGACCACCATGGCAAAAACTCACCCCTTGCTTTGGTTTTAATATATTAGAACATTGCCCTCAACCAGAGTGATAGTTTTGGGCTTCCAGGGGGTAAAGGGGATTTTGTTGTGCTTATTTAAGTAGTGGTAACTGATGATGATTTTTAACTGAATGACCCTGCAGGACTGGAAAAATACCAGTCACAGATGAAGAACAAACCAATGTGCCTTACATCTATGCCATTGGCGATATATTGGAGGGAAAGCTGGAGCTCACCCCTGTAGCAATCCAGGCAGGAAGACTGCTGGCACAGAGGCTTTACGCCGGCTCCACTGTCAAGGTGAGTGTTGCGGCTGTCGGCAGCTGCAATGCTGTGGGTAAGGACGACTCCCATTCCCTGTTTTTAAGGGGTAGTTGGGAAGTTTTCCAGGTGTTGGATAACTTAATTATTTGGTGATGGTAGCCCAGATGTGCTTTGTTAGCTGTATGCCAAATAAGGCGTTGTTAAGACTGCTCTGCATTTGTGACTCCATTATGATAAAATTGTCACTCTTGGAACCACACTAAGAATGAAAAGAGCTTGATTGAATTTCAGCACTGTTAACAGTCACCATATTCACGGTAGTCGTATTTTACAATAATTTCGTTATTACAGATACAGGTATAATTTTCCAAGTCTTTTGTGGGTACCTGTTGAGGCTACAGAAAGACTTGGGGATTTAGGCAGTGGTGCCAACGAGCGGAAGTGCTGAAACAGCTCTTCAGGATTTATTGCCCTGTCCTTTCAGGAAAAAGTAGACATGCTACGTGTTACAAGTCAGTATAGGAAATCAGAACTCTTGAGTGTATTTCACAGGAGTAGATGGTCAGAAAAGAAAACCTATTTTTTAAAAGAATTCTAGAAAATTAATTGTAAAGAATTTGGGCACAAATCCTTTGAGTATAAATCACTGTAGGTTGTTTCAGTTTTTTTAATAATGGAAACCTGGCAGCGTGATGCTAGTAGAATTTATTTGTGACCTGAGTTGTTTTGGATTGTAGCAAAATGAAATACAGATTGAAGGGGAGAAAAAGGGTTTTTAGTACCAGAATGACTGGGTGTCCAGGGAATAACAGTTGATTCGTATTCACATTACTGTTTGAAATAAACTTAAAGTGACTACCTCTTTGAGTGACTTTTTATATTCCTTGTAGCAGTTGATGAGGCTCTGATAAACTAAGAAGGGCTAGAGACACAATTTGAGATGGCAATAATTTATTCTCAAGTTTATATTTTGTCATTTCCTTACGTGGTAAGATTTTTTTTTCTATACCAGCAATAACCAAAGGGTGAACACACAGAAAGCTGCACCTGAATAAATTTGAAGTCATTGTGGTACAGTTCTCTTGCTTCCTGGCCTCGGGAGGCCCTCTGTAGAAGGAGAGAGCTGTCTGTGCTCTCCAATTTCCATTTTCTCCAACTTCAAGCTACTGTGGCCACTGTGGCTTCCCTGAGCCGCACGAGGTCTGTCTCCGTAACTGCGGCAGACCTGTGGGCTCTCTCTGAGCTTCCCCTGCCCGCAGAGGTTGAGAAACTGCGTCTGAGCAGTGAGTTGGAGCGGTCGTGGGACCTACTTCATAGTTTCCTTCTTTCATGGATCACAGGCCCACATTGCCTCTTGTGCAGTGGCTAAAAGTGGTGCTTCCTGTTCGGTTTGTTTTCTAATTTAAAGCAGGAGGGTAAATCAGTGGATGTTTACATTAACTTTTGAATTAGAGAATTCAGAGGTGCTTATGCTCCTTTTAGAGAAAAAGGATTACATTTATTGCTTTTAGAAGGAGGCGCATTTTAAAGATTTTACCCTATTTTAGAGAGTGAAAATTACACTTCTCATATTTTAAATACAGAATGCTACTTAGGATCAGCTATGTACAGAAGTCATTGCTAGGTTTTTACCAATTGACATTTAAAAGCACGTTAGACATTTACTTAATACTTTTTTTTTTTTTGCAGTTCACATTGGCATATTATATGTTCTCTGAAATCTGAGAAACCTTTTTGTTTTGCAGCTTTTTTTTAAAAACTTCCTGAATCTAGAATCCTTTCATCATCTGTACCTAATAACATCATACAGTATGCTTTGGGAAATACCATCATAGACATTAACTGTTTATTGTTTCTTTATTACCATTTTGTGGAAGTGCCATAGAACCATTTCCCAGTTGCTGAGATTTTAAACCTACTCCATTGTTGCTAATCGCACAATTTATACACACAACCTTTTCTGCATATTATTATATTACTATATTATTATACTAATAAATTGGTATTTTATAATCTTACAGATTTTTAAAAGTGGGATTATTGGGCCAAAGACATAAAATACTTTTGTGGCTCTTCATATGTATTACCTAATCGATGTCCCCAAAAATTCTGTTAATTTTTGTCACTGGTAGTATGAGATTGTTGTATTGGGTGGAGTATCATTTCTGGCTTCTCCATGAGAATGATGTTGGTAGCATCATTTGGCAGATAGGTCGAGGAGCACAGAGATCGAGATCCCTGCGAGGACTTCACACTTGAGTAGTTGGAGGTTCACAGTGTGGTGGGTTAATATCTGGGACTGAGACATCACATGTTGTTGGTAGAAGTTTGTCAGTCATCTTTCCTCTCCCAATTTTGAGCGTTTTGCAGTGTGTGTATATTTTTTTTCTTTGTTGATAAGATGTAATTTTACTTATCCTAACTCTGTCCCTCTGTTTTGAACCAGTGTGACTATGAAAATGTCCCAACAACTGTGTTTACTCCCTTGGAATATGGTGCTTGTGGCCTTTCTGAAGAGAAAGCTGTGGAGAAATTTGGGGAAGAAAATGTTGAGGTAAATTTGCCTTTTCAAACTCTTTCCTCCCATGTTCTTGATTTTTTTTTTCCTTTAAAATTTTAAATAATCTCAAGAATATGAGGAAGTTGAAAAGTGGTACTAGATTTTCCATCTACTCATTTTCCCAATTTACGTATTATTGATGTTTTGGCCGTTTGTTTTAGATACATTTTATTTTCTCTATTTCTGTATCTGTTTCCCTTAACCATTCAAGAGTAAATTGATTACCGCTTTACTCTTAAATCAAGAGTACTTCAAAAAGATCATGGAAGGCCGGCGCCGCAGCTCAATAGGCTAATATTCTGTTTGTGGCGCCGGCGCTGTGGGTTCTACTCCCGGTCGGGGCGCCAGATTCTGTCCCGGTCGCTCTTCTTCCAGTCCAGCTCTCTACTGTGGCCCGGGAGTGCAGTGGAGGATGGCCCAAGTCCTTGGGCCCTGCACCTGCATGGGAGACCAGGAGAAACACCTGGCTCCTGGCTTTGGATCAGCGTGGTGCGCCGGCCACAGCGGCCATTGGGGAGTGGACGAAAGGAAAAGAAAGACCTTTCTCTCTGTCTCTTTCTCTCACTGTCTACTCTGCCTATCCCAAAAAAAAGATCATGGAAAAAGAAATTTAAAAATAAGCTCAATTTATTGCAAAACTTTAAAATCTGTGCACATGAGAGGTTTGAAAAGTTCATGGAAAATGTGTATTATGAAAAAGTTGGAAAAAGTTTATCATGAATTTTTAAGAGATTGCAGCAAAATAAACAAATTTTAACTCCATTTTTCTCCACACAGTTTTTAAGTACCCTTATACTTTGTTGTATATTTCCAATGAAAAGAGGGGGCATTCCTCATACCCACTTTCTGTGCAGGGCTGTTCCTGCCTGGTTGAAACTCAAGAATTTAGTCCAGGTTTCCCACATGGGAGGCGAGAACTCCTTGAGCCATCACTGCTGCCTCCCAGGGTCTGCATTAGCAGGAAGCTGGGGACAGGAGCCAGAGGCAGGAATTGAACCCCCCAGGTACTCTGATAGGGAACCATAGCATCTCAACCACTAGGCCAAATTCCCACCTCAGGTATTTTCTTAAACAATCACTATATAGTTGTTTGTTAGAAGAAATTGTATTGATGTAATGCTTTTTATCTCATTGACCTTTATTTATTTATTTTAAGATTTATTTTATTTATTTAAAAGACAGAGTCACAGAGGAGAGGCAGAGAGGTCTTCCATCCGCTGGTTCGCTCCCCAGATGGCTGCAACGGCCGGAGCTGTGCCGATCAGGAGCCAGGCAGCTTCCTCCGGGTCTCCCACGCGGGTGCAGGGTCCCAAGGACTTGGGTGATCCTCTGCTGCTATCCCAGGCCATAGCAGAGAGCTGGATCAGAAGAGGAGCAGCCGGGACTCGAACCGGCACCCATATGGGATGCCGGTACTGTAGGCCAGGGCTTTAACCCGCTGTGCCACAGCGCCAGCCCCAATCATTTACTTTTCATTTTCTGAGTTTGTCACTTAACCCAATAGTATTTCCTTCTGCTTTTTAAAAGCCAACCAAATTTGTTGATTTCATTTGATTATTAAAACAGTATTGTTGGAAATTTTTTAAAAATGTGGGAAAATTAGAAAAGGTAAATGAAAATTAGCTAAGGTTCTGCTGCTTTGACCATGGGGACTAATTGCTGTTTCCAGCATTGCTCTTAATTTACACTTACTGTGCTGCTCTCCTTTTATCATGTAGCCAAGGGAGAGTCACACTCTTGAATAGTGCTCCCACAGGCAGTGCTGTTGCAGATACCTGAGGGAAAAGTTTTCCGTAAAACCTCATAATGACCAGATTTTTAAATAAAAGTCAATCTTATGATAGAAAAGCCCAATTTAAACTTCCTCTTCATTAGCTTTCGTAGTGGAATATAATATCTTGGTCCATTTAATAACACATAAGTTTTTTTTCTGATTGTAAAAATAACATCAAAGGGGTGGGTGCTGTGGCACAGCGGGTTAATGCCCTGGCCTGAAGCACTGGTATCCCATATGGGCACCGGTTCTGGTCTCGGCTGCTCCTCTTCTGATCCAGCTCTCTGCTATGGCCTGGGAAAGCAGTAGATGGCCCAAGTCCTTGGGCCCCTGCACCCGTGTAGGAGATCTGGAAGAAGCTCCTGGCTCCTGGCTTTGGATCGGTGTAGCTCCGGCCATTTTGGCCAGTTGGGGAGTGAACCAGCAGATTGAAGACCTCTCTCTCTCTCTCTCTGCCTCTCCTTTCTCTGTGTAACTTTCAAATAAATAAATAAATCTTTAAAAAATAATAATAATAGTATCAAAGCAGGCCTTTGGTATAGTTGTTAAGACACCACTTGGGACACCCACATTCCATGTTGGAGTGCATGTGTTCAAGTCTCAGCTTTTCTGCCCACTGCAGCTTCCTGCTAATGTGCACTGGGAGGCAGCAGGTAATGTGGGTCCCTGCCATCCAAATGGGAGGCCCTGACTGAGTTCCTGCTTCTGGGCTTCAGCCTGGCCCATCCCCAGCTGTTGCGGGAATTTGGTGAGTGAACCCGCATGCAGATGGGAGATATTCCTGCTTCTTCCCTTCAAATAAATAAATTAAAAATTTGAAAATAGTGCATCTTCATTATAGGAATTTGAAAAATTAGGATGATACCAAAAGGAAGTTCTAATTCATGAGGAGATAACTGCTACTAATATTTTTACATGTTTTCTTCCAGTCTCAATTTTTTTTTTCAAAGTTTGTTACAGTTTCCTGTCCTTTAATAATGTTGTGTCATGAATTTTTTTGTCCTTTAATTTACTAAAATATCACTTGAAAAAATGTGTAATAATTCATTATCATTTGTTAAGCCACTTTTAATTAGGTTGTTTGTAGTTTTTTACTGTTACAAATAGAATATTGAGCATCCTTAGAATTCATTGTTCATTTCTCTGGTTATTTCCTATCAAAATGTTTTGAAATTTTAAGGTTCTGAATATGTTTTCCATACTTCTTGACAGGCATTCTTTGGCTTTTTAAAAATCTTTTTTTAAATCATAAAAGTAATGTTTTTGAGTCAAAGATATTTTGAAAAATGTGAGAGAAACGGAAATAATTACTCAGACTTGTACCCCTTTTTTTGAAGACTTATTTATTTATTTGGAAGAATTAGAGAGCAATCTTCTATCCACTGGGTCACTCTCCAAATGGCCACAGTGGCTGGGGTTGGGCCAGGCCGAAGCCAGGAGCTTGGAGCTTTATCTGGGTCTCCCAAGTGGGGACAGGGGCCCAAGCACATGGGCTATCTTCCTCTGCTTTCCCAGGTGTATTAGCAGAGAGCTGGATTAAAAGTGGAGAAACTTGGGACTCAAGCCAGCGCCCCAAGACTCATGTCTTTACACAGCAGTTTTCAGTAGTTCAGGGTAATTTCTCTAATAGCATTTTTTCTAATTGTTGTAGTGCTATGATTATACATTCAATTTTGTAACCCACTTTTGTTTTTAAGATTTACTTATTTGAAAGGCAAACTTAGAGGGATAAACAGAGAGAGAGAGAGATATTCTATCTACCGGTTCACTCCCCAAGTGGCCAAAATGGCCAGGGCTGGGCCAAGCCGAAGCCAGGAGCTTCATCTGGGTCTCCCATGTGGGTGGCCAGGGTTCCTGTGCTTGGGCCATCTTCCACTGCTTTCCCAGGTACATAAGCAGGGAGCTGACTTGGAAGTGGAACAACCAGGACTTGAACTGGCGCTCACATGGGATGCTGGCAGTGTAGTCAGTGGCTTAACCTACTGCACTACAATGTTGACCCTGTAACCCACATTTGTGAAACCATTTTACATTGTGTGACGATATAGAAGAACACGTATGTGTTCATAATCTATGTGCTTTTAAAAGGTAGCTGATCATAGACATTTTGAACTAAAGTTAGCAACTAGGGGTAATAGCCCCTCAAGTCATCAGTTAGGTCATCTGTCCATCCTTCATTCTTCTCTCTCTCCTTTCCTTCCTCCCTCCTTCTGTAGTTTTGGTGAATAAAGCCAGAGGGAGACATTCTTTTGGAAGCAGTAAGACAAGAGAACTAGATAATTGGTATAATTGTTTCAGGTACCGTATTTGTTTCTTGCTCAAAATTTTCATTCCTGTAAGGTAAAAAAGGCAGTAATGAATTTTTTATGTTATTTTTAGGTGCAAGACAATAAGTAATTATATCTTTCTTTCATTCATTGGTCTTCTTTGTTATTACTTTAGGCTTATTGTTTTGAGGTTGAGAAATAAGAAATGAACTTAGAGCAAAAGTACTGGGCAGCGAGAGGTTAAAGTCAGACCAGATTCCTGTTTATTACATGAATGTTGTTGTCTAATGAAAGTTATAACTATTGGCCGGCACTGCAGCTCACTAGGCTAATCCTCCGCCTTGCGGCGCCGGCACTCCAGGTTCTAGTCCCGGTCGGGGCGCCGGATTCTGTCCCGGTTGCCCCTCTTCCAGGCCAGCTCTCTGCTGTGGCCCCGGAGTGCAGTGGAGGATGGCCCAAATGCTTGGGCCCTGCACCCCATGGGAGACCAGGAGAAGCACCTGGCTCCTGCCTTCGGCACAGCGCGGTGCGCCAGCTGCAATGCGCTGGCTGTGGCGGCCATTGAAGAGTGAACCAATGGCAAAGGAAGACCTTTTTCTCTGTCTCTCTCACTGTCCACTCTGCCTGTCAAAAAAAAAAAAAAGTTATAATTATTAAAGAGCTTCCGTTGTCTTTTACTGTATCTAATGTTTGACAAACATACTCCTTCAGATAATTGGTCTAAATTGTGCTTGTATTTCCTTAGGTTTACCACAGCTTCTTTTGGCCGTTGGAATGGACGATTCCCTCAAGAGATAACAACAGATGTTACGCAAAAATAGTCTGTAATCTCAAAGACAACGTAAGTGCCAGTCTCATGTAATCCTACCCAGTGATGTCCTGTGGTGTCTAAGAGGTAGTCCTGTTTGATCTTGTGGTCCAGGTGGCATTCCTTTCCTTCAGTGTTTCACCTGCCAGTCTCCGGCCGCATGCCTCTCCTCCAAGGGCAAGCAGCTTGGCTCCACCACTTACTCTGCCCTCGTCTTCTCTGACACAAGGCCTACACAGAGTGGCAGGCGGTCAGAACTTGCTTGAACTGTCTGTGTTTATAGTAGAGGAATGAAGTCATTGACTGAAAATAATGAACAGTAGAAGAATGAGAGTGATGCAAGGCCGATCCCAGCAGCTGGCACCAACGAGAAAGGCGTAATGGGAAGAGCCCTTAAGTGGGTCCCGTGTAAGGAATCCCTACCTGCTGCTACACAAAGGCCCGAGGGCAAACTGCTTCACCTCTAATGGCGTTTGTTTCCATACCTGCAAAGTGGGGGTTGAGTCAGCCAGTGTTTGTCAGGCATTTTGACTACAGCAGCACAGCAGGAGATATATTCTGTGCTGTAACTCAGGACATGTGTATGAACACACACATACTCTTACACTGTATATTCAAATTATGAAACATTTTCAGTCATGTTATGTTTTGCAAAAATGCCCTCAGCAAAAATAAAAACAATGTTAAAGAATCCATATGTCAATATGTTAAATATCTTATAAACTAATAATTTTTTAAGTTATTTACTATTTTATTTACTTATCCTCCTCCCTACCCACTAATTTGGAAGGCAGAGACACAGAGGTCTTCCATTCACTGGTTCATCCCCCAAATGCCCACAGCAGCAGGGCTGGGCCAGGCCAAGCAAGGAGCATGGAACCCAGTCCAAGTATCCCAGATGGGTGGCAGGGACTCAAACATTATCTGCTGCCTCCCAGAGTGTGCATTAACAGGAAGCTGGGTTGGAAGGGGGGCTGGGTCTGGAACCAGGCACTCCAGCATGGGATGTAGGGGTCCCAAGTTGTGGCTTAACTGCTGAGCAAACACTTGTCTCTGCAAATTGTTCTTATCTTGAGCTTCCACTGTAATGAAGCCAGGTGTCCTGTGTAGACACTCCTGCTGCAGACAGCAGCACCGTTGCAGGCTGTTTCAGGAAACACTTCCCTGAATCTTCTATCAAAATGGCATCCTTGAGGCATTTAATAAATGAATATCCTAGGATGGCCCGTGATCAGTTGAGCCCTTGACGTGCAGAATCATGGTGGGGGCCAGCACCGTGTTGCGGTAGGTTAGTCCTCCATGTGGGTGTCGGTTATAGTCCAGGCTGCTCCTCTTCCAGTCCAGCTCTCTGCTGTGGCCCGGGAAGGCAGTGGAGGATGGGCCAAGTGCTTGGGCTCTGCACTCCATGGGAGACCAGGATAAGTACCTGGCTCCTGGCTTCAGATTGGCACAGCTCGGCTGTTACGGCTATTTGGGGAGTGAACCAATGGAAGGAAGACCTTTCTCTCTGTCTTTCCCTCTCACTGTCTGTAACTCTACTTCTCAAATAAATAAATAAATAAAAATCTTTTTAAAAAAAGAATGATGGTACTCAGAGTTTTCAGACATACCACTAAGGATGGATATGAGTGTGCATTAGGTGTCAGTTCTGTGTGCTTCTCCTGGTTTCCCATGCGGGTGCAGGGCCCAAGGACTTGGACCATCTTCCACTGCACTCCCGGGCCACAGCAGAGAGCTGGCCTGGAAGAGGGGCAACCGGGACAGAATCCGGCGCCCCGACCGGGACTAGAACCTGGGGTGCTGGTGCTGCTGCAGGTGGAGGATTAGCCTATTGAGCCATGGCGCCGGCCCAAGAAAGCCCATTTTAACCATATGTAGTGACTTTGACCTTTTTCCTCACTAGCAGTAAACCTGTCTTGACTAAAATAGTTGAGGGTCCTAAGTTTTAAATCACTTTTGTAGGCAAAGATAGTAAAAAGGACTATGCTTATCATTGCCTTTTTTTTTTTTTTTTTTAAAGATTTATTTGTTTGAAAGTCAGAATTAGGAGGAGAGACAGAGATTTTCCATCCACTGGTTCATTCCCCAAATGGCCACAACGGCCAGGCCTAGGCCAGGCTGAAACCAGGAGCTTCATTTGGGTCTCCCACATAGGTGGCAGGGGCCCAAGCACTTGGCCATCCTCCGCTGTCTTCCTAGGCTGCAGTAGCAGGGAGCTGGATCTGAAGAGGAGCAGCCAGGACTGAAACTGGTGCCCAAATGGGATGCCAGCATTGCAGGCTGAGGCTTTACCTGCTCCACCACAGCACTGGCCCCTTGTCGTTGTTCTTCTATCATGAGCAATCCAAGACAAACGCATGTCTTTGGGGTTTGGCTGTCCTTGAATCATGCCTTATTCATGCTGAATCAGCCAACCAACCTCATAGTGAAGCCTGAATGTCCTTGATTTTAAGTGATGCTCACAATGTTTATTATCTGCTGGATTTTCTTCCTGTTCTATGTGGTTTTTTCCCCACATAAAAAATTTAAAATATATATAGGGGTGGGTCTGCGGTGCAGTGGATTGAGCTGTTGCTTGGGACCCCTGCATCCCATATCAGAGTACATGGGATTGAGTCCTGGCTATGCTCTCCATTCCACCTTTCTGCTAATGCACACCCTGGGAGGCAGCAGGTGACGGCTCGGGTCCTTGGGTCTTTGCCACCTGTGTGAGAGATGCAGATGGGATTCCTGGCCTGTTGCTTCTGCCTGACCTAACACTGGTTGTGGGCATTTGGTGAGTGAACCAGTAGATGGAAGATCTCTTCTTTCTTACTCTGTTGCTCTGCCTTTCAAGATAAATAAGTAAACAAATAATAAATAAATCCTACCATCCAGATGAGCTGAACATTACCATTTTCTTTGTGCTTACCTGAGAACTTTGGTCTCATAACCTCAGAACCCATCACATATGCAATTTATAGTTCTATTTACCAAGCACTTCCTATGTACCAAGTTCTACTTAGATGTCTACTTTAGCACGTTTTAACTTTTTAATACATGCTACATTCGTAATTCATGTCACATAGTCCTGCAAGGTGTGTACTGCTCGTTGCTAAGCCCATTTTACAGCTGAGTAAACTGAAGTGGGTAGAAGGTGAATAGTTGTGCCCAGATCGTTTGCCAGGTTAAGGACAGAGTTGGTGTGCAGTTCTGGGCCACCTCCCTGCTCTTACCCTTACCGTGTACAGTGCAGTGTTTTGTATTCATCCCCTCCCCGAGGCCAGCCTGTTCTAGAGTTGGGGCGGCTCTCCTGCCCGTATTAGGTTTCCCACCTGCTGTGTTCTGATCACCATTTTACTGTGTATTATGGCTTGAGTGTCATTCTCAGAAAATAGAGCCCCAACAGCCCAATTTTTTTTTACCTCTCTTGAGGTCTTTTCAGATTATTACATAAAATTCCTGGTATATTTTAAAGTGCTTTGTGGTGGTTCTTCATACAGCCAGACATCTATACGGCAAAACCTTGATTGTCCACCTTGATTGGGTCTCTCCCAGTAGTTGGCAGCACAATGAGCGTTCTGACTGCTTCCAGGCAGCGATGGAGCCTTGGATGAGCTCTGTACCCATTGCCGGAACTGCCTTGGCTGTTACGAGGATCTGGGACTCCACCAGTCTGGCTCCTCGCAGCCCTGAAAATCTGAACTGAACAGTAGAACACATCAGACTTTTTTCTACCCCCAAAACCGTGATCTTTTTCACTAGAGTCATTGCTTTCCATTGTCACAGCCATAGCAGAGTTTCTGAGCCGAGACACCAGATAGAGGACGGTGGGACACCACCGCCCTCCAGTAGCGTTTTCCAGAACACTTTGGTGGTAGAGGAGCTGCAGATGTTTCGACATTTCATATTGGGCCTTGTCATCACACATAGCCCACTTTTGTCTTTTTCCATCGTGTTCCCTGTGTTGGCCCGTGTAAGGGAGTGTTAAGCCTGAACAGGCTTCGGCAGGATGCATTGTCCATGTCTGGATGGGTTTTCAGAACAGACTGGGGGGAATAGAATAGGCTCTGTAGGCTGAGATGAGGGAAAAACCAACTTAATCGTATTACTTTGTTTTCCATGTTAGGAACGAGTTGTCGGCTTCCATGTACTGGGTCCAAACGCTGGAGAAGTCACACAGGGCTTCGCAGCTGCACTCAAGTGTGGACTGACCAAAACCCAGCTGGACAGCACCATTGGAATCCACCCTGTCTGTGCAGAGGTAGGTCACCTGCGCCTCCCAGCGTGTGAGGGGCTGATGGAGGAGTGTGACGCCAGTGCTCCTCCTGCTGAACTGGAGCTGCTTCTGTATCTCCTGACACTGTGAGAATGACTGAGAACACCTCCAGAGACGACGCTGACGCTAAAGACAGCTTTCCCTCTTTCACATGTGAATAGTTCCCAGTACGGATTGGAAGCCTCTATCATGCCCCGAAGTGGCAAAAATTCTGAGAGTGACTTACAGAGATAGGACTTTAATCCTTGTGTGTCATGTCTTCTGAGTGGTTCTCACGGCAGTTAGTTAATGTCATTCGTAGGCAGAAGGAGCCTTAGTTGTTACCAGGTACTCTGGGCCTACCTGAAGGCTAAGTGGAGATGTCTGCCTCTTTTGATATCAAAGAATGAGATTTAAAAGTGATGCTTTCAAGAGGTCAAGCAAATGGTGGTAGAACTGGAAATCAACCAGTCTAGGCCTCTGGGTGTCAGTGTTTCTTTGCTTCAGTGATCATTCAAGAGTTGATCGTTTTTAGCGCTGCATCAGGATGAAAAACCAAAAGTGTGTTCACATTGGAGAGGATGGTAAAGGTTGGAGGGAGGCATCCCCTAGCCTACCAGCTGCGGTGTGGAGCTGAAATTGCTTTTGTTTACCATGGTCAGTGGTTTCCACAGTGCACGCTGGTGGTTGCAGGCACGTGCACGTACATAAATACACGCTCATGTGCACATTTGTGTCAGATTTCATTCAGTGGCTTGAAAACTGATTGGTCATGGTTGGCCCTGCATGACCACTCTTTGCTGAGCTTGTGACCTGCCAGCTCTGAGAGACAGGGAAGTGTCTCAGCCTCCCTTGGCTCTGCCTTCTCTCTGAGTAGGAGTGCTGCCCTCCACTGTATTACCTGTACCTGCATGAGGTGGAGGCACCTTGTTCCTAGAAAGCTGTTGTCTTTGTAAAGGACAAAAAGTACATAACATAAGCACTGGGGAGGCTTCAGATAGGCGCAGCATGCCGGCTGCAATGCGCTGGCCATAGCAACCACTTAGGGGGTGAACCAACGGGAAAAGGAAGACCTTTCTCTCTCTCTCTCTCTCTCACTATCTACCTGCCCATCAAAAAAAAATATATTTTTATATATATGTGTGTGAGAGGTCTTTTATTCAGTGCAGTGACTCCCACTGCGTGCTCAGGGAAGGAGCACTTAGCTTCCCTTTTTTGAGTGCCATGCTTCCTCCAGAGGCTCTGGGGAGGAATCTTCGCCTCTTGTGTCTTCTCATTGCTCCTGGAAATCCTTGGCTTGTAGATGCATCGCTTCATTCTTAGCCCCAGTCTTCACACGGCCCCATCTCCTGTGTGTCTGTGTCCAAGTTTCCCTATCTTTTCTTTTTTTACTTTTTTGCTTCTTTGAGAGGCAGGGAGACAGAAAACAGAGACTGAGTTACTATCCACTAGTCCACTCCCTAAATGCCCCAGATGACCCCCACTGGACCTGAAGCAAGGCACTGGGAACACAGATCTCCTATGTGGTGGCAGGAACCCAGTCACTTCCCCCATCACCATTGCCTTCCAGGGTCTGCATTGGCAGGAAACTGATTGAGGAGCCTGAGCCAGGCACCAAACTGAGACACTTCCAAGATGTGGGACGTGGCTCGTGACTACCCCATCTTCTTACAAGAGCACCGGTCGTTGGATCGGGGCCTGCTCCAGTCCACTGTGACCTCATTCTAACTTAATACATCTGAAGAGACCCTGTTTCTAAAGAAGGTCGCATTCACAGGTACTAGGGTTAGGACTTAAACCTTTGAGGATACACAGCTCCACCCACTACAATGAGTATATTTAAAAATTTAGGAGTAGGCTTTCAGTCTCGGTTAAGACTCCCACAGCCCGTGTTGGAGTACCTGGCTTCAGTTTCTGGCTCCTGACTGCAGCTGCTTCCCATTGCAGACCCTGGGGAGCAGCAGTGATGGCTCAAACAGTTGGGTTCCTGCTACCTGGATTGTGTTCCTGGCTCCTGGCCATGGCCTCATCTGTTTGGGGGCAACTGGGGAGTGAACCAGTGGAAGGGAGCTGTGTCTTCTGCCTCTTACATAAATTAGCTGATTTTGTAAAAATCAGATACCAGTCCCAAGATACAAACTGCCGCAATTGAGAGTCTAATTTGCGGTTGGAAGTCAGCTGTGAGCAGGCTGGTGGAGAACAGGGCTGCTTGCTTGCGGGACTCCATGCACCTTGCTTGGTTGCAGTGCCCTGTCACCCAGCAGTGACGAACACAGCAGCAGCAGACTCACTGCCAGCTGGACGGGATGATGTGCAGAAGAGCAGAATGTCCCCTGAAGCCCCTGGCCTGCTCCCCGTGGTGTTTCTGTCATGTTGGCCACAGCGCATCTCCCTCTGTTGGTCCCCTTAGGACTCTGAAGCCCAGAGGCTGAGTGTTGTGACACTTTGATGGGACTTGGATTTTTAAAAATTTCCTGGGGTGGTGACTGATGAACAAGATAGAGTACTCTGTGAACATGTTTGTTGCAAAGCTGTATGCATAGCTCTGTCCCGGGCACTGAGGATCCAGCAGAGGATGTAAGACAAGCTGAAGAGAGGTAGGCAGATGAGCGAAAGTGCCACGACTTCCTAGGACTGCACTGGGCACACCCAGCACCCCAGAGGTTCTTCCTATCTCTTTTTACTCACAAAATGCTTCTGACAGCAAGTGTGTCAGACACATGCATCCCTGTCCAGACACCAGCTGGGACCTGCCCTACAGTGTTGGTTCTCACACTGCCTGGACTTAGCATCAGACCCCACAAGTGAGGGACTCAAGACCTGCAGGCTTGTCTTCACTTGGATGCCAGCCTCAAGTCCAGGCTGCACTTTTGAACACTCAGCTAAAAAGTCAGAGGGTTCTTATGACCCTTTGTCAGGTTCAGTACATTCCTAGAATGGCTCACACAGCTCAGGAAAACACCTTACTTGCATTTACTGGTTTACTAAGAAGGCTACAGCTTGGGAATGGCCGGATGGAAGAGGCACACAGGGCAGGATGGGGTGGAGAGGGGTGCAGAGCGTCCATGCCCTCCCTGGATGTGCCACCTTCCCAGAACCTCGGAGTTCAACCTGGGAGTTCTCCAAACCACTGCCGTTAGAGGGTTCTGTGTTGTGCCCGTTATCTTAAGCATGATTGATTCATCATCAGCCAATAGTTGTTAACTCAGTTTCCAGCCTTGTCACCTTCCCGGAGGTTGAAGAATGGCAATGGGTCTGAGTTCCAGTACTGGGACCCCCGTTTGCTCTCCTGGAAACCAGGGGATGGTAACCCCCATCCTGGAGCCATCTCAGGGCCCCCCAGAAGTCACCTCGTAAGCACAACCTTGGCTGTGTTTGAAAGGAGCATATAATGACCATTAAAAAATGTTTCTCTCTTACCACTCAGGAAATGACAGGTATTGCCAGCAACCAGGGATGAAGTTCACATGTGTATATATCACATCACATATTGCAAAGATCCACATGTGATATATACACATGGTGATGCAGGAGGTCAGTCTTCCTTGAGACCAGAGCAGCTGGTGTGAGCCAGTCAGAGGGGGCAAAGGTGTAGGAAGAGGGGAGCGTGGTTCATTCAGAGACCTGAAGATACCTCGCAGTAGCTGGGAGAGTTTAGGGAGAGGTAAGAAACCATGCTGGGAAAGTAGGAGGCTAAGTCGTGGCCTGGGATCCCTGTGGGGCATTGGAGTCCTGCAGAGAGTTTTCAAGCAGCGAGCAACGTGATATGAGCGAGGTCCAGAGAAGGACCCCAGCTACACTGGAGAGCAGCTGAAGGCGGTGAGCCTGTCAGGTGGCTGATGAAAGAGGAGGAGAGGAGGGTTGTGGCAGTGGAGGGGCAGTGGTGTGTCTCAGACGGAGCTCCTAGTTTCTCCAGTCGACTGAAGCTGGGAAGGGGGCTTACCCAGAAGGACTCAGGTTTGTGGCCTGAAGTGAGAAGGGATAGAGCAAGAGCCTGTCTGGGGGAAGAGCAGTGATTCTCTGCTAGGGTTTGCTGTGTGCTAGCCACGGGGCTCTCCACCCATCGACTTACTAGTCCTTGTGAGCACTGTACCAGGAGGGTGGGAGTGGAGTCCTTGATAGACAAGGAGAATGAGAACGGAGAAGTTGAGAACTTGCCCTGGTTTCCCAGCCTGGTGGTGGCAGAGCTGAGATTCAAGCTCAGGCAGTCCAGCTCCCGGGGCCCCACACCATCCAGGAGACGACTCCACTTCAGTGGGCCACCCTGCAGTATTTGGCATAGAAATAAAAAATGAGCAGTGACTTCCTGGTGACAACATAAGTATAGTACAGACACACAGAGTGTTATCTCATTCTGCACATTGTTCTCTGTGAGACCTGGCTGGGCGACCCAACTTTTTAAAAGCTTACTTTCCATATTAACTAAAATCACAGTAACATCTAAGTTAAAAGATTGGTTAGAAATGCTGTGTATGTAAAACATCTAGGCGAGTTCCTAGCATTTGGTAGGCGCTCACTCTGTTCCCCAGGGCATTTCACTACAGAAGATGTGGCTTGACTACAAGGTTATCAGTACTGTGTTTTTCAAAGGGGGAGAGGGATGGAGGAAAACTCATTTGTGTGTGTGTGTGTTTTCTTTTTAACCTTGGTCATAAACTATTTGCTTAGATGCTAGATTTTGAAAATCCAACACCCTAACTGGTAATATTTTTAAAAAGTCTTAATCTAAGGAAAGTGACATTTGTTTGGTAGGGGATTCTCGGGGATTCTATTCTGTTCAACACTAGGCATTGATTGGATTTGCTTCTGGACCCACAGTTCATAGTGTCTAGTCGGTGTGGTCCATAGAATATGTGTGGTTGGTCCCTGATGAGGTCAAGATACAGATGTGGAAGAAAGAGTTGGGAAATTTATTATGAGTAATTTGATAGGATCTGCTGTAATAAAAAAAATTGAAGTTTAATTGCACATGCTTTTTAAAATTTCATTTTCTAGTACATTTTTAT